GCTGGAGAGGACCGGGACGCGTTCCCGGCTCACACCACCACTTTTCCCTCTCTTAGGCTCTCAAAGTCTCACTTTCAGATGGCGCCGCCCCGAGAGTTTGGGACCGGGCCTGGCTCCGCGCCGGCCGCAGTGTTGTTGACCTTAGAGCCGCGAATGCGCTTTGGAAGATCCGATCAGATCCCCCTGGCAGTTGGGTTGTCAAACGCGCGCCCTAGGAGTGCAAGAAGCATATAACGAAGCTCAATGACCTACTGCTTGTATTGCCATTGCAATGCTGAAAACTCGTACCTGTCTCGGTGAACACGCTGCACATCACACAGTGGAGGGCATCGCCGCATCTCAGAGACCCCACGCATGCGCCGCTTCCCCGTGTTTTTTTTTTTTGCTCCCGGTCTTGATTATATATTTTGCAAACGGAATACCGGCCTGTCATTATCTTCCTTCAAGCCGAACTGGTTCCAGTTTGATCGGTCAAGCGTCGGCGCCCCTCTCGGTCTGGATCCTATCTTGGGGCGCATCGACCCATTTAATACCACCAAATGTACGTAATAAAACACATTCCAAAAAGAGGGTTCGCGCGGTGATAGTGAATTTCCCCGGATGACGAGACGGGGATCCGTTAGTGCCTGACACCACTCTACTGTCATATGATTACTATCAGGTCTCTGTCTCGTCTCGAAAGCCGCGTTCTGGCTGTTGGTGATGGGTACGAGTTGACCGAAGAGTTGAGAGCCAAGACAATTTACAAGGACCAAAGACAGCCAAACCTAGACAAACGCGCGCCCTACAGACAAACTAGGTACGGCATTCCGAATCCTGCAGTCTGCACTCTGCAGGCCAGCGAGTCAGGCCCCGAACGTTCCCGCCAACCGTGATTGGGACGACGCCAGACCGCGCTTCGTAGCGGCGTAGCCTGCCTTCATGTTGGGCGACTTGGACCCGGGGCTGGTTCTTTGTCGGGGTTCTACCCGCTTTCTGTGCATCTTCTCCTGCGATGGCACCGCAAATCATCCCGCCATGCCCCTTGTTGATGGGAAAGGTACGGAACATGGACATGCCAACCCGGAGCTAAGCAGGGCTTCTGCTGCCGCGTTCCTCGAGGACGCTACACACCTTCTCGGCGTGGCCGCCGGCAGCAGAAGCAGTCACGCAGTAATTACAGAACCGTCGGTCTGTGAGAACGCGGTCGTTTGTCGGCAGTAATTGGAGCTAAGCCCCAAGTTTTCGCCTCTCACCCGCGCTTCTCCAAGGGTCTCTTCGGTCTTTTGAGTGCTTCAGCCAACCATCAACTCGACGTCTATCGGATAATGGGGGGTCTTCTTCCTTGATCCCATGGATGGCCGAATCCGACGTCGGATGTCGCTCGACCCATTGCCAAGATATTAGGAGATCTGGCTACAGGCCAAAAGCTTGTGGCTTGAAGCCTTGGAGAGAGACTTGGAGACAAGTTCAGAACGTGAAGCACGTCAGACGGTCAGCTTGACGCCAATTGGGAGAGCTGAAAGGGAGCGAAAGGAGCAGAAAAGTCTCAGCAAATGCTTGATGCGTGGGCCGCCCAATCGACGACTGCCGGGGATTTTCTGGGTCCCTTGTCTCCCAAGTACCAACTGTTCCACCAAGTCTCCTCTTTCGGATCAGTGGCTATCGTCGGGCACCACGTTCGTCTTACCCCAATGCTTGAGGTGATTCTCATCTCATGGCTTGCCGTTGGCCCGTTGCTGCAATGCGTCGACCAGGCGCGGAATTCGGATGTGTACGCCAGTGGAACCTTTCGACGGCTGGGTAATCGAAACGTGGGAATGGGGGCATCTTCATTAGGAAATGGATCATGGAAACGCGTTAAGATGTTCTCGACGAGACGACTTTCTCTCCGTTATCGTTGGTATCGTCCGCTCTGACGTTGCCTCCCTCCCGCAAAGCAGGGATTCTTTCTCCTCGCTCTCCTCAAGTCTCCTCCCCCCCGCGCCCACACTTCTGATCGCCCCAGCCAGCTGCCAACCATCCCCCGGCGCGCTTTGCTTATCTCTGCGGGGCTCCCTATTAGATGGAGCCTTTGGGCCCGTCCGTTGGTCTTGTCTATCACGACCCGAGTAAGTCACATACTTACACACATACCCAGTGGTAATACCTCCGTACCGCTCCGTACAGTCTTATTTCTCTCCCAGGAACCGGGAGACGTCAGATGAAGGTTGGCAAGCTAACCAGGGATGGGAAGGGGGGCCGCCGGACACAAGGTAGCGTCGGGCCAGGGGCTCGCAACGAACTCATATATAGAATAACTGCCCTCCTCGCTGGTCTAGGTCGTTGAGCTGTGTTTGAGTCGTATCCCATTCGATCTGCTCGGCGTCTTGGAGAGTGGTACTACCCGACCTCAGCCAGCCTTACCTCTCACCTTGGACAACTTGTGTTTTTAGACAGTCGGACGCTGGATCACCAAAAATACAGATCTGTTTTACCATCCACAACCCGCCCAACATGGCTTCCGGGATGGAAGAAAAGACTGTCGGCCTCAACCGCGCCGACAGCACCAACAGTAACAAGCTTGGTACCGTCATGTCTGGAACCAATGCTGCTGTTGCTCAGCAATACGGCGAGACCCAGCGCGGTCTCAGCCCACGCCACGTCCAGCTCATGGCTATTGGAGGTTCCATTGGTACCGGTCTTTGGGTAGGTTCTCTTCCAGCCTTGCAGTGCTGCGGTTCGCAGCCCAGCGGACAGAATATTCTAACAATCTTTTCCAGGTCGGTATTGGCGGTGTCTTGTCCAAAGCCGGCCCTCTCTCCCTCGTTCTCGGTTACACCTTCTGGGGTCTCCTCTTCATCTGGCCGCTCAACCTGTCTGTCGCCGAAATGTGCGCCTACCTGCCCATTCGCGGTACCATCTTCGAACTCGCCTCTCGCTTTGTTGACCCTGCTCTCGGTTTCGCCATGGGATGGACCTACTTCTTCGCCGGTCTCATGTTAGTGTGTACGGAGTACAGCGCTGTCGCAACGGTTATTCAGTACTGGAACGCGGATATCAACCCAGCTGCTTGGATTGCCGTTGCCATGGTCTCTTGTGTGGCGGTCAACTTGGTTGCAGTCAAGTACTACGGAGAATCCGAGTTCATCATGGCTTCGACCAAGGTCATTCTGCTCATCGGCTTGTGCCTCATCACCCTCATCACCATGTCCGGCGGCAACCCCATGAACGACGCCTACGGCTTCCGCAACTGGGGCGATGGCAACTACATCCACGCCTACTTCACCGACGGTTCGACAGGAAGATTCTTGGGATTCTGGAAGGTCGTCATCTACGCTGCCTTCACCATTGCCGGCCCCGACATGATCGCCCTTGCCGCTGGTGAGATCCAGAACCCCCGCCGTACCATCCCCCGCGTCGCCAAGCTCATCTTCTACCGTCTCGTCGGTTTCTACGTCGTTGGTGTTCTGTGCGTCGGCATTATCTGCAGCTCGCGCGACCCTGGCTTGCTGGGGGCCATTGAGAGCGGCGAGCCCGGTGCTGGTGCTTCCCCCTGGGTTGTTGGCATCAAGAACCTCCACATTAAGGCTCTTCCCGATATCATCAACGCCTTCATCCTGCTCTCTGGATGGTGAGTTATCCTCTGTTGCGTACTCGTATTCCAAAACATGCCATGCTAACAACATCAAAGGTCCTGCGGTAACGCTTACCTCTACTCGACTTCCCGCACTCTCTACGGCCTCGCCCGCGACGGACAGGCCCCCAAGTTCCTCCTCAAGTGCACCAACGCCGGTGTCCCCATCTACTCCGTCCTCGTCGTCACCGTTATCTCCTGCATCACCTTCCTCGTTTCCTCCAACGGCGCCGTCGACGTCTTCTTCTGGTTCGTCGACTTGACCACCACCGCCCTCATCATGACCTACACCTTCATGCTCATCACCTACATGGGCTTCTACCGCGCCCGCGTTGCCCAGAACTTCCCTCCCGAGACCCTGCCCTACCTTTCTCCCTGGACCCCTTACTTCCCCGGTCTGGCCCTACTTTTGGGTATCCTGGCCCTTATCTTTGTCGGTTTCGACAACTTCTACCCCTTCAGCGTGCGAGGCTTCATCACCTCCTACTTTGGTCTCATCTTTGGTGTCCTCACCTTTGTAATCTGGAAGGTTCTGAAGAGGACCCGCTTCGTCCATCCCAAGGAGGCAGATCTTATCAGCGGAAAGGCTGAGGTTGATGCTGAATGCCGCCACTGGGAGGAGGGTGGCATCGAGGAGGTGGAGAGGGCGAGATTGGCTGAGATGTCTTTTGTCAGGAGAACCTGGGAAAAGATTTGGTAAAAGTTGCTGCTAGCATAACGATAATGGCTTCCTTGTTCCAATGATAAACAATATTCTGTCAACTATGCGACTGCCGCTTTCACTTGATGTGTGCCCTTGGTTAGGCACTTTGCTCTGACTTTGATGTCTTTAATCCCACTAAGCCACCTTGACACCTACGATTATAGCATGGTGTTCATTCATGTTTACGTCAAACCAGGCCAGCTCAGGCACCCAACACAGCCAACACAACCAACGCATTGCTTGGAATCATGCATCAAGCCGTTCGCTTTTCCTCTAACGGTCAGTGCTGCCAACATAAAGTTCTGGCAGCTCAGCAGGGAGAGCGGCCGGCGCCGTTCCCACTGCCCTGCAGGTCGTGTGTTCGAATCACACCTAGAGCCGAACATCATTTTTGCTTTCTTCTAGTTAGTCATTTTCCTTTCCACGGTGTCAATACAGCGCCTAATTCATGCTCCATAACATTTGGTACACATACATGACACAGCAGTCTCTCTATTACGTAAACTCAAGCTTCCCCGCCTCGCTTGGTCTTGCGGGGAAGTTCGTCCGTCTCCATGACTCCCATGCAGATTCGCGTTCTAGATGCAACTTCAACTCACTTGGCGCGGCTCTCACTGCGAAACCGGCTTATCCCACCGGGTCTAAGATGGTCAATTTCTCCAGACAGAAAGGACCATTTACTGTAGCCGTGCTAGCCTAGCAATGCGGCCCACCAGGTACTCAACCTCACGACAAAAAGCGTGCCAGCCATGCGCGGTCGCCAAAGCCAAATGCGACCGGAAAGCTGTGGCATGTTCCCGGTGCCACCAGCGGGGCCTCTCATGTCTCTATCCACAGGCTCGGACGATCCCTTCATCCGCGCCGGGTGCTGCCGGGTTTCGTACAGAGGCTGAAGCCGAGGTCGATACGAACCGCGCAGCAACTACGATATCCGCGACTGTGGAAACGATCGCGGTATTCTCGCCGTTTCGAATGGTTACGCCAGACAAGACGAGCGCTTTCTCTCGTACGGGCGATCTGTCGGCTACAGAAATTGCTCAATCAGAGGAGGAGGCTCCAGAGCCTGATCTACTCGATTTCTCGGACATGAATATCATCTGCAACATCAATGCTGATGACATTGCCAATCGATGGCTGAATAACTTTGTCCCAATGCCGGAGCAACAGGCAAAGAACTACACGCCAAGTGTATCAGCTTTCATTCAGAGGATTCTAGAATCCTACGTAAACTCTTCCGTCCGTGGCCGCAAGGTCCCCCCTTTTGTACATTGGTCCCAGGTAACTCTGCCATCGAGCCACCCATTATCAACTTGCTTTTCCGTCATTCGAAGATGCAACAAGCATGATATAATAGAAGCTGAGGTCGTAGCCAATGAACTCAAGTTAGAGATGGCAAGGCTTTTCCAGCAATACGCAACACACGATGACATGACTCTCCTTGCAGCATTTCAAGCACATCTCATCTACGCCATGGTCATCTTTTTCAAGTTTGGGAGATCTTACTACCCGTTCTTACGCGAGGCCATGATGAACACCCAGGAGCTCGCGTGTGCGACGGCGAAGAAGGGACTCACGTGCGTTTCCAGAGAAGATGAGACGCGTCCCAGGTGGGAGTGCTGGATCGCAGCCGAGGTCAAACGGAGAACGCTGTTCACGATGTGCCTCTTCGATAGCGCTCTATTAACACATGACGGCCTCCCAACCCACCTTGCCACCGAGCTACGCGGTCTATTAGCGCCAGCATCCAAAGCCTTGTGGGAGGCTCGAACGAGGCATGATTGGATGGGTGGATATGACTTCCAGCAGGCTGAATGGCCAGAGAGTTGGCTGACCATCGACGAATTATGGCCTATGCCTGAAGATTTCAGCGAGGATGAAGTCACTCATAGGCGTATGAGAGTCAATGCATGGCTGGAGGACCTAGACGAGTTTGGTGTAATGATATATGCTGTGACCAGCTGTACACACGGTACCTGATTCTGACCAAAGGCATTTGCTATTCACATCGAGGCCAGGTGTCCAAAACATGTGTGATATTCTCTCCGAACCGGTCTTCTGGATGTAACTCCCGCAAGCATGGGTTTAGCGCAATTGACCCCTCAGACTATCGTGATCGTCTCTTCCTCGACATGTGCGAACCAGTTTCGGAGCGGATATTCTTCTGTGCGACAGAAGCCGATACGGCGGAACTCTTGCTGCTGGTCCGTCGGCTCTAGCAGCAGCCCGTACCAACGGCTTGGCTCCTTGGCTCTTCTTGATACCTGTAAGTAGTAGAGAGGCTTATCGATCCCGCGATAATCCGTGTCGAAGACTGCTAATCCGACCATGACCCCGTCTTCTTTGAGGAAATCAATAGCTAACTCCTTCCGATAGGTTGAAAACCTCTGATAACCCGGAGCTGCCGGATGTTCTCTTGGATCAGCCCGTCTGAGTTTTCCTTTCAACTGCAGGTATCCTGATCTCAACATGCCTCTCGAGTCCAGGCCGAGTGGCATCGTCTCTGCTTGAACGATCCTCACGGTCACCTCCATCTCGTTCCCCGAGGGCAGAATGCTTGCAACTTCGGGCATTGTGACAGCGCCTTCCAGAGACGCCCAACTCCAACTCGGGGCGCGGAAGCCATCAGACGGAGCTTCAAGCCAATTCTCCCTTCTCCTCCAAAGCAACCCATAATGCAAGTGGTTCTCCCATAACCCGGCAAGGTACCGTTGCCCGGTACATTCCCCCATCACTTTGGCAAGACCGGAAAGCGCTGGCAGTCTATCATAAGACTTGGCGATGCCTCTGCTGCTGTATGCCGACACCATATCGTACCAGTCCCACACGAACTCTGATGTCGATAGGCGTCCTTGCGCGAAGGGGTATGAAAGGTGAAGGCGTTCGTCCCATACGAGCTTTTGCACAGTGAATGCATCAGTCGGAACCCCATCTTCTGCCAGACGAGATTCCCGGCATTCCCAGAGAAGTTGATCCGAGTCATAGTGTATCATTCGCGCAGATAGAAGGCGTTCCTGGGTCACCCATGCTCGTGTATGTAGGATGCTTTGGGGCAGATGGCTGAAGTCACGCGGTCGAGGTCGTATGAACACTGGGATAGACTCAGTTCTATCACTAGTTTTCCGAGTACATTTGACTTGAACATGGTTTGAAGTCGAACGTGGCAAGAAGCAACCCCCCGTCGAGTCTGCGGAGGCTGAGGCTGCAATGGTCAGATATGATGAGGCATAAATGGTGCCCATCTTGACGCTCTCGAGTTCCCAGTCTTCTTTGGAGTCCTGCAAAATGCAGAGCGAGTCGATCCATATGTATTGCACACCAAGCGATCTCGTTATCAATACTGCGTCCCGAAACGTCGGAGGCAAGATGGACAGTGGCAATGACTTGATATGGTCATTGATGGTCTCGCTGGTGGTACGGATGACAGGATGAGAGCCCCAGCAGTGACTCAATGTCATATAGCGACCAGCTTCTCCGTTCGTAATAGTGAGCTGAGGTTCCTTCACTCCCTCGACACCGACATCTACAACTCGTGTAGGTAGAGTCGTAGGTCCTGAATGGCAGCTATGCTTTTCGTCACATTCACGGACCCAATCTTTCACGAGATTAATCTGCTCAGAGGGAGGCTTGATAGGTCTGCCTACGATGGATTGCTCCAGGCTGGCAATTTCGTCTTTGGGGTAGAAGCTGAAATAGCAGTAAGCTCTCGGGCTCAGGCGATCGCAACGAACTTTGACCCAAAATAGACCAAGAGACTCGTAGTTCTCATCTGTGTACTGAACACCCCGTAAGATAACAGGCGAATCTGGGTCATTCCAAGCCGCTTGGTCAACACTGACTCCCTCGCTCTGGAGCTTCTCGATGATGGATCTATGGAAAAGTCGACACAGATCGCATGAGGAGATATTTCGCTCAAGGTCGGCAATTGAAGAATGAAGACTAATGTCTTGGACTTCGTCTTCGTCGTCAACTAGGTCGGCAAGATCGAGCTGACAGCAATCTTGACAAAGAGACATAGCTGAAGGCTCGTGGACGGCAACATGTTTTGACAGAGGCCACAATGAAAAAAGGAAGAGTCGAGTTTTGAGGGATTTACTGGGACGCCCCGCTGCAAACCGACAGCTCCAGGGCGCCATCGGTGGTGAATGATTCAGGAGCCTTGGAGTTCATGCAGCTCTGCATATGCGCACCGCAGGGTTACATTCAGCTGGCGTATCGTCTGCTCCAATCAATTCACTGGATACTTAACTTTGAGTTCAACTGAAATGCCTGGAGCGTATGGAAGCACCAAGAAACATGGACTGCCGAATCGAAAGAACATTTAGCCACTTGGTAGAAGTCTTGGACTCAAGAGGTCTGCGTGAGCTTCCGCGGGGGAAGATTGTTGGCAGCAACCATGGGATCGAAAGCGATGATCGTCTTTGGTCATTCTCAACTCCTCCTTGAACCCGACGGACCGAAATTTTCCGGACACATTGCTCGAGTTCTCTGCAGAAGAGATACGCGACCCCCATAGTCAGCGTCCAAGATGCGGCCGGTAGCTCACGGTGTTTGAGGTTGAACTTGACACACATTCTCTCACAATCGTATTGATGCTCTTCCCATCAGTTCTAGACAAGAGAACCTGCTGGAAGTTCTGTCAAAATAGATCAGAAAGTGGCTGAAGGCAGGGTTAAAACCCATTCTGAGCTCCCTCGACCGGAGGCGCTCCTTTCAGCCCGAAGCAATCGAACATGACTGGCTATCGCTCAACCCATGACTTTGGGATTTAATTTTTAGCTGCATTGGAAGCTTCTTCATTAATGGGGAAGCTGGCGAGCTTATATACTCACGACAGCACTGCGTTGAAAATTCCATGGACGCATTGGCATGTCATATGACGAGAACGATAATAGCGAAGATAGAAATCGTATTGCCAACTGAGTCAGACTGATTTGGTTGGGAGGGACCCTCGTCGGAGTTGGGAAGTTAGACATCCCACAGGGCACTAAACTATTCCCAGTTCGCGGTTTAATTCTAACTTCGTCGTATGCGCGCACAACGCCGGATAAACTGTCTTACTAAATGAGAAGTTCAAGAGTTTTGGATCGTACTTGGCCATCGAATTTCTCAGACTTTTCGTATCTTGCAAAACTTTTCAAAAGTTCTTTGACGTCCCCAAGCTAGCAAAATTATCCCACAACCATCCCACCGGTCTTCAGGAATACTCTCTTGAAAACAATAGTAGGCATTAAACTAGCCCTTCTTCGAGAAAGAAACTTCGGTGTCTAATTTGAAGATCCCGAAGACGGAGGCTAAACGCTTTTAGCCTATAAGGCGTATTATCAAACCTTTGCGATGAAGTCTTGAGTTACCTCGACAATTGGACTAAACACGAGCTGAGGTATCCTGAAGATAAGAAGGCGATGATTTCATCTCTTTCTTCAAATATCCATCATCTCACTCACATATTCACTCAACCATTAGTATCATAGCCCGATCACCATTGTTCACTACCAAAATGAAGACATCGAACCTCATTACCGCCCTTGCCCTCGGCGTGATTGCTTACGGGATGCCTGTCACCGAAAGTCTCGCTACCGAAGAGATCAAGCAAGCAGGCAAGAGCCAGACCCATTTACTGTTTGTGTAGAAGCCAACTGACAATCTTCAGCCCCGGATTCTTGGAGTCCTGCGCCAGCTGATCCGATCATTCTCGGGGGGCTTGCTTCTATCGCCATGACCAGTGGGTGTCACCTAACCCATGATCAGTGTAGAACAAGTTCTGACGCGTTGTACTAGATGCTGAGCCCCTAGCCGGCGACGTCGACGTCAATATCAAGGAACGTGGTAACGCCCCCGTCACCATCGCCGGTGCAATCTTCCATCCCGCCTGGCTTCCTCGAGTCCGTCCTGCCGCCCAGGCTATCACGGTTGCAGGCCATGCGGTCTTGATGACGGCTTGGGTCGATGCCCAGAACCGCATTTGCATCATTCTCGATGCAGCTTTCCCAGGTAGACCATATCCTCAAGTCCAGCATTTTCGCGTCATGACCTTGCGCTGATGTTATTTCTGATTAGGTATCCACGGAACCATCACGGCTGGTGTGCAGAATCTGCACAATCACCTAGGTGTTCTGCCTCATATCTTTGAGCTGGGAAAGACCTACGTCGCTTCGGACAACGGGGGCGAAATCGAGCCTGCCGATACCTGGCAATGGTTCTGGTTCAAATGAGTACAATCAACGGCGGCATAGCTTGGGTCCTGTTATAGGAGACCGGCTGCCATATTATCTTTCAAGATAAATCGGAGAATTATCATCCGGCGCATCGTATTAGATAGTAGATAGTGAGGACCAGCGAAGGTATCTATCCTAGAGCTCGTCGTGATAGTAGATATCAACATGCTACTAATTGAGTGTTTACTACAATAAAATCTTTCAAGAATTCGATGATGCTCGGGTAAGTTGAAGTTCGACAGGCGAGTGCTATCAACTCACACATGCATTTAATTATGCAATGTGACAAGTATAACTCACGGACGTGCTGTTATACACTAAAAAGCCGTCGAATTATTCTTCATTCAGATTCGATGTTGTTGAATTTGTGGATATGAGTTCGTTAAAGCGGCTTGAGCTCTGACCACTGTCTCAATGGCCAAATTATGTCTCCCCACTTGTCGTATTCTCATGTGTACCTTTTGGCACAAGCCCACAGTCCGTTTGTTGAACTAGAAATACGCTCACACTTGCAGTTCTGTGCTTTATCTACCTCAAGAGTCAAGACCTGGTACTTAGCTCGAGAATATCTATATCATTCACTACAGCAAGTGTTTCTGAGAGCTCTGATGACGGTTCTGAAATAATTGAGTAGAGGCTCTTTTAGTGATAGCCACTCTCTTGTTTGCTTCGTCGTGTGTTGCTTAGATAGTCCAGTTCATATGAGTAATTCAATCGAGTGCTGTCGTGAAAATAGAGAGCGGGTGATGTAGACAATGCCAAACATAAGTACTTAAGCTATTGTCAAGGTCAAGTTGAACGACCATGCCCGCAGCCTTACTAGGCCAAATGACTACCCAGACAGTGGACCAGTATCAGAACTTCAGAAGTTGCACAGCTTTGCTGCATCCTGACTGATTTATATCGAGCTAATTCTGAGATTCTGAATTCTCGGAAAGACATAAAGCTCAGTCGTTCTGACAGAATGCTATTGATTCCCGTTTCGAAACTGTTGTCAAAGCCATGCTTTCAATTGCTCTCAAGTGCGTTTCATTGAAAGTTGGCTGACTTCAAGGCCTGATTAGAAGAGCTTGCCATTGATTAACGTATCTCTCGAGGTTGAAGGAATTAAACTCGAATTGGGAGATGGAAATCGTTGCATCCCGGCGATTCTGAAGTGATTTCTGCATGTGATGGCAGCAGCTTGTGCTAGAGGAAAAGATATGAGCTGCAACGAAGGTGACGAAGGTCTATGATCTACCTAAGGTATGTTGTAGTCTGATTGATAATCGTGCAGTGGACTCTAACGCTGTTTGTAAAACTACCAAGTGAATTGGCGGTCAAACTTGCATGTCGAAGCGAACGCGAGCACGCGAGTCAACTGTAGACTTAAATTTCCCCGCATGCTCGATTGGGACCTCTTCCGTCGGCGAACAGCGCAAGCGCTCGCCGACTTGCGCCAGTAATTATTGCCGACCGGACTTCATGGGTAGCTCGCATCGGCTACAGTAACTTCCGAGCCCAGAGTCGCATCAATTCAACGGCAACATTTGCATGCTGAGAGTTTGACTTGAATTCGACAACAAAAAGGCGAAGCTAAGGAGTCAGCAAACTCTTGGCTTTCTATTGCGATGCAGTGCTGGGTGTGATCAGCGGGAGAGGGGCTTTCGGCTCGACGTGACCGGTCTCGTATTCCGTGTAGATCAGATTTCTGTGAAATCCTCAGACTCTGTGAGGCTCTTCGAGACTCTTGGCCGGGCTGTGCATGTTAGAGGACGTCTTTCAATGCTATGGCTCCGTCTTGAACAATGGCCATAGCATGGCGTCATAACATATGGACAGAAGGAAGATTTTCCAGTGGAAACGACAGCTCTTTTAGCCAAGAAACAAAGTCCCACACAATTCAACAGCTTTGCAACACGATCTCGCCCCTGAGTCAAAGCGCGTGCGGGAAACGGTGCGGAGGATGGTGAACTCAGGACAGGAGCTTACTCCCGCCCGAACGCCGATGAGCAACCAAAAGGAAGCTGGAAACAGTTGTTAATCGGGTGGAGTTGCCCCCGCTCCAAGTGATTGCCAGCTGGATGTCGCGAGAGGTGATGAGAGGTAATGATAGGGAAAGTTTTGGCGAGGTCGTATCAACCGCACACGTGCTCCGCCTGACCTTCCATTCAAGCTCCTGATATGCTGCCGACGACATATCGGAGAACTTTTTCGTTTGTCCGTTGCCAATTAGGATTCGAAACCCCTCTTACTGCCTGACTGTTGGCTTGTCTCCAGTGCGAGAAACAGAAGCAAAACCCGCGCCATCTAGACTCTTGTCTGTCATGTACGGCTAAACCTTCCCCTCTTCTCGAAAACTCGTCTGATCCTACCATCATCTCGTTTATTCTTTGCTCGAATATCCCTTGTTCACCCCTGTCTCTACTAAGATTTCTGCCGATCCCCAAGCTAGTCTTCATCTTTCTCGCCTCCTCCTTCCCGTTTTCTGCAAGCTTCACACCTCTAGCTACTCTTGATAATCAACCTGTGAATGCTCTCTTAAACTGCCAAGCCTGCATCATGTGCTGTTCGTTGGTTTCTGAGGCTGACCTAGGCCGCATCCCGGCGGGTCATCTCTCCACACACACGGTGCTATGCCTGCTTGTTTAAGCTTGTCAGGACGATTTTCCGGCCCCAATCTACCTAATTCGGGCTTATCAGATGAGATCAGAAATATCGGTTCCTCAGTAATATGTCTCCTGGAGTGTGGCAGTGCTGGTCCGGCCGGGGTTTGAGTTCTTTTGCTTTTGCCGTTCTGTCGGAAAGTGGAGAGCTATGATGAAGGTGAGGCTGGATGGCCATGCTTGGGAGAGGTAGCCCGGCGAAAGCTGCCCTCGGAAGAGTATTCATATTCTCTGGGCGCCACTTATTCGGCACGTCTTGCTTTCGAGCTCGACAGCACTTTCTCTTTTTCTACCGGGCCGTACATGACATCCCTTCATGATGGCTGACAAGTTTCTCAGCCCCAACCCCCCACATGCGGACTCCCGTTCGCGGGCCACGAGTGATGCCGATACCATTGCTCCGGATGGGTCCAACCCGTTTCTCACGCCGTCCGGCACAACCGCTACGCCTAGTACTGCTGGTGCGAGCCTCGACCTAGAAGACGTTGAATCGTCTTTGAGGCCCGACCCTGGCACGAAACGCGACTTTCACGTGGACAACAACCCATTTGCCTTTTCCCCTGGGCAACTCAACAAACTGCTGAACCCCAAGTCAATTTCAGCACTCAGAGCGCTCGGCGGGCTCCGAGGCATTGCTCGTGGCGTTCAGACCGACGTACGAAGCGGCCTCAGCGTTGACGAAGCAGGCGTCAGATCCAGAATCAGCTTCAATGAAGCAGTCGACAGCCACGACGACAGCAAACCGGCTTCGCCATCAACCGAGAAGCATGTACCGTCTTCTGGGGCACCATTCGTGGATCGTACTCGCGTTTATGGTCGCAATGTACTGCCGCCAAAGAAGCCCAAGTCAATCTGGAAGCTGATGTGGATTGCGTTCAACGAAACGGTACTTATCCTCTTGACGGTTGCCGGAGTCATCTCTTTGGCACTCGGACTATACGAGACCCTCGGCGTGGAAAGGCCTGCAGGCGCACCGGCTTCCGTCGATTGGGTTGAAGGCGTCGCTATCTGCGCTGCGGTCATCATCGTCGTCCTCGTCGGATCCCACAACGACTGGCAGAAGGAGAAGGCATTCGTCAGGCTGAATACCAAGAAGGATGACCGTCAAGTCAAGGTCATTCGCTCCGGAAAATCAGTCATGATCAACGTCAACGAGATCCTTGTGGGCGAGGTGCTCCATTTGGAGCCTGGCGATATGGTTCCCGCTGATGGCATACTCATTGAAGGACACGAAGTCAAGTGCGACGAATCTTCGGCTAGTGGCGAATCCGATGTTCTGAAGAAGACTGCTGGCGATCAAGTTATGAAGCTTCTGGACTCAAAACACAACAATCATGACGACCTGGACCCCTTTATTATCTCAGGATCCAAGGTTCTTGAAGGTATGTCCTCCATTCCTCAATCCTTAGACTAAGCTAACAGACCGCAGGCATGGGAACCTACGTTTGCACCTCCGTTGGTGTCCACAGCAGCTTCGGCAAGATCATGATGTCCGTACGATACGATATCGAAGCCACACCTCTCCAGAAAAAGCTCGAGCGGCTTGCTATCGCCATCGCCAAGCTCGGTGGAGGTGCATCGGCTCTGATGTTCTTCATTTTGCTTTTCAGATTCGTTGCCAGTCTCCCTGGTGATGACAGATCGCCCGCCGACAAGGCATCAACCTTCATGGACTTGCTTGTCGTGGCCATTGCTATCATTGCTGTTGCAGTACCTGAAGGCTTGCCGCTGGCCGTCACCCTTGCCCTCGCGTTCGCTACCACGAAGCTGCTGAAGGAGAACAACCTCGTTCGCGTTCTTCGATCTTGCGAAACCATGGGTAACGCAACAACCATCTGCTCGGATAAAACAGGCACTCTGGTATGATTAACCTTCTCTGACGTGAAATGACAATCAGCTGACGAGGGCACAGACAACAAACAAGATGAAGGTTGTGGCTGGCACCTTCTCCACCACCAGCTTCACAGCTCTGGCTCAGTCCGACAACGAGAAGACCTCGGGGACCCCTCATGTAACTGTATGGGCTGCTGGCTTACCTACAGGAACCAAAGAACTCATCGTTCAGTCGGTTGCCGTAAATTCCACAGCCTTTGAGGGCCAAGAGGATGGCCAGGCAACTTTCATCGGATCCAAGACCGAGACAGCCTTTCTCCAATTGGCGAAGGATCACCTGGGTCTTCAATCACTTGCTGAAGCCCGCGCCAACGAGCAAGTCGTGCAGATGCTTCCCTTCGATTCCGGAAGGAAATGTATGGCCGCAGTGATCAGACTTCGTGACGCCTCGAAGGGATATCGTGTACTGGTCAAGGGTGCCTCCGAGATTATGCTTCAGTACTGTTCGTCCAAAACTCATCTGGAGACTTTGACCGAGGAGCCCATAACGGTCACTGAGAGAAAGTCACTCGAATCAACCATCAACGAATACGCTCGCCGGTCCCTCCGGACCATTGGCATCGTGTACAAGGACTACCCCCAGTGGCCGCCTGTAAATATGCCTTCAGAAGATGGACACGTCAAGCTCGAGGCCCTGCTGGCACCATCTGACCTGGTATTCCTAGGCATTGTCGGAATTCAAGATCCCGTCCGAGAAGGTGTTCCCGAGGCGGTCAGGCTTGCGCAGCATGCTGGTGTCACTGTCCGCATGGTTACTGGCGACAACATTGTCACCGCTCAAGCTATCGCGACCGAGTGCGGTATCTTCACGGGCTCTCAAGGGGTGATCATGGAAGGACCGGCTTTTAGGAAGCTTTCCGACGAGGACATGAACAATATCCTTCCTAAGCTACAGGTATTGGCTCGTTCATCTCCTGAAGACAAGCGGATTCTCGTAACGAGGTTGAAGGCGCTCGGGGAGACGGTCGCTGTCACAGGTGACGGTACGAACGATGCCCCGGCCCTGAAGGCTGCAGATGTTGGCTTTTCTATGGGTATCTCGGGTACTGAAGTCGCCAAGGAGGCCTCCGCGATTGTGCTTATGGACGATAACTTCGCTTCAATCGTGACTGCACTCAAGTGGGGTCGTGCAGTCAACGATGCCGTTCAAAAGTTTCTCCAAGTAAGTTTCTGTTCACATGATGCGATCAATCACCTGGCGGTCGCTTCCGAGGACAGCTCTCAGTACCAGGTCACTGACTCATTGTCGTGTAGTTTCAAATTACCGTCAACATCACTGCCGTCCTACTGGCATTCATCACAGCCATGTATGACCCTCACATGGAGCCGGTGCTGAAGGCTGTTCAACTGCTTTGGGTCAATCTTATCATGGACACTTTTGCCGCGCTGGCACTTGCAACGGATCCTCCGACGGACAAGATTCTTGACCGACCTCCTCAAAGAAAAGATGCTCCCTTGATTACAATCAATGTAAGTTCACTCCTGTCGCTGGCCCCTGCGAGCATAGCTAACGACCGACTTTAGATGTGGAAGATGATCATTGGACAAGCTATTTTCCAACTTACCATTACACTCACACTTTACTTCGCTGGCCCCGAGATCCTCAACTTTGACAGAAACAGCGAGGATCAAATGCTGCAACTCGATACAGTCATTTTCAACACATTTGTTTGGATGCAGATCTTCAACGAATTCAACAATCGGCGACTTGATAATAAGTTCAACGTTCTCGAGGGCGTGCACCGCAACCAGTTCTTCATCTTCATCAACCTCTTGATGGTCGGTCTCCAAGTTGGAATCGTGTTCATCGGCGGTCGCGTCTTCGAGATTAAGGAAGGTGGCCTCGATGGAACTCAGTGGGCAATCTCCATCGTGATTGCGCTCATGTCTTTGCCCTGGGGTGTGCTGGTCCGTATCTTCCCAGATATATGGTTCGAAAGGGTTGCTGTTTTCGTCGGAAAGCCTTTTGTGCTGGTGTACAGATTCCTTGGGAAGATGTTCGCTCCTGTTGGCCGGTTTACCAAGCGAAAGCGACGAGAGACTACCGCGGCAGACGAGGAAGTACCCGCTACGGTTGTGATCGCTCCCCCTGAAGAAAAGGGTCAATAGCTTGATGAAAGACCTACGGAGTATATGTAGGAAGTCGTATGGCATGCGAAAGGAAAGAAACGCGGCCTTTAACTCAAGACACGGCGTGTGTCTGTGTGAAAATCGCTTTTTAGCAGATGGTTTAGGTTGACAGTCTTGTGGTATTCTTCAAGATGCCATCGATGGTGTCTTATTTACAGCGAGTGACTGGGTTAGCGTAAAAGCAGTGGGACACATGACGACTTCGGACTGGAAAGACTGTCACTACTTAAAGTACTTAAGATAACTACAGGTAATCGTAAAAATAAGAGAATAAAAAGTAAAAACTTCAAATGACATGTTTCATTCAATCATGCTTGTTATGAAATCTAACAAATCTGAACAGCACAATTGAAATAGCGATGAAGGGGTGGACCAAGACTTCAAGGCATTCTCCGTCCACAAATGTGGCAAGGGCCGCTCGCCTCTGCTGTGAACTTCATACGACTGAATTCGTCGATTATTGAGTTTTCAGAAACGACAGCACCCTCGGTGAATATCATATAAGCTGCATTTATGCAAGACAACCTGCCACAATGAAGTTGGGATGGACGGTAACGGCCTGGCTGCTTTCATTCATAGGATATTATGGCTCTCTATAGCACCACTCATCAAAGTACCTTAGGTACAGCTTAAACAACGGCCTTGCACCGAAAATCACTCAACTCAACTGTCTCAGAACACGACTCATAATAGTGATTTGAACGGCCAGAGCCAACAAGTGAGCAAACAATGTGTACTCTAGGAGTTCTCAACTCCCTTAACTACAACAGGGAAACTTCCATCCGTAACTAGCTGGTCCGCGTTCCAGAACAGGAGATAGGTATCTTCCCACTCGGACGGCTTCGCCCAGAACTGTGCCTCCAGCTGTAAGTTGTTGTTGTACACGAGCTGCGTCGCGAACAATGCCCATCCATAGGTAGTCTGGTTGACAGTGACTGCCTGAGGGGTTTGAGTAAGGCCCATTGTATTATCATCGCTGTCAGTGATGGTCAAAGGGCCGGCAGATGTTCCGTTCACGAACATGCCGTTAACCTTCCAGTTCTCTCCCGTGGTGGGTGGGAGATCCCAAGTGATCGGGGCAAGGTTGGCATTGGCGTCGTCAGGGGTCTGAGTGATGTATAGGTAGCCTTTGTGATGAATGGAAGTCAGCAATTCGGTTTTGTCATCATAAGATTCCCGCAAAACAGATGGCCGGGGGTTCATACCGTCATCCAGTCCATAAGCAATAGGCCACGAAGATGAGTTTGTTCCGTAAGCATAGAATGTTGCGTTTGTTTCGGCCTTGCGTGTCAGAGCCCTCCCGGATAGGGGCTAGTAAGAGGTAGTAAGGAGTCCAAGCAACAAAGGAGCAGCTCAGATATATATACAGCGCAGGGAGTACACGTCGAGGGAGGAGCAGATTTCAGTAATTCATCATTCTACCCCTAACTGCAGTTGGCCTCTGAGAGCTTCCACCCTGCGTCAACATCCCAACTTGACATTGCGCTTGACGTTGACGTTCCACGAAGGAGAGATGGCCGAGGCACATGTGAGACCGGTCTGCAAAAGCGCGAGAACTCCAACCTTGGAAAAATACATTGTATGAAGAATAATCTGTAACGACTGGACGTGGTGGTATGTAATCTTTGAATGAGACCGTAGGCTAGAAGGATAGGACACGGCCGGGTTAAGTGAGAAACGAAAGGAACAGAGCACGTAGATGTCGCCTCACATAACAGATACTGTTGGTATCACAGGCGTGATACATTTCCTCATGAGAGTGTATCTTCGGCAACAATCACGTCGATGTCCGTGATAATTGCTGTTGTTTTTCTTGTTACTTCCTATTTTACATTGTGGGCAGGGGTCGGTCGAAGTAGGTGGTGACGGCCTGGGTGGTTGCCCCACCTTAACCGGCCGTGATGACTAAGCCGGTTGTCCCACTTCGCCCAGGGCAGGTGCCAGCCAGCCCACGATACCTGCCCATTGCTCCTTATCAGCCTTGCCGTTCCGACAGATACTTTCCAGGTTGAATTAACCCTTAAAGACCGCGGAGTTTACCACTTACACCCAACCCACAAGGAGATGCTAAGCATTCCCCCCCACAATGCCCATTTTGAGATGCCGCTTGCCCGGTGATCGTCGTTGGTTCTTTTGGCAAAGAGGGGCGGTTCCGAGCTCGTAGACGCAATCGATGCCCACCCTCGGGAAGCACAGACAGCAAAAATAAACAAGTCAGACTTGTCAAAGTTGTGGGTTTATTCCTGACTAGGAAGGCTCTGATGTTTTTACCCCTGGAGAAATGGGGCCGTGCCGGGATCCTACATCTCAACTTCTCTTGCGGCTGTCATTCTTCCAACGTTGCGGTTGCTGGTCAGCCTTATTGCGCGGCTTAAGGTAAGTTGCTAGATCCATCATCACCCGCATCTCATTTAACGGCGAATCAACCATAATGCCCACGGCCACTCTGGAAATAGACAGACCCGTCTAACCCGTTCTCACAGCCCCACTGATGCAGGCTTTCTTCTTACCTCACCGGCCGGTTTGACGTGTAGTCGACGTGTAGTCCATCGCGGCCTACCGGGCTGAGGAGTTTATCCCAGCGCGGAATCACCGTACTATGTGGGACAACTTAGTCTCTGCCAGGCAGAAACTCTGTTTGCACCCACATGACGATAGTCATCTTGCTCCGCATGACGCCAGAACCGACGGCAAAATCCGTCTGCTATTGCTGCTCACCAAAGCCCACATCCCGCATCATGAAAGGGGGAGAGAATCAACTGTCCAGAGTTTTTGCAAAGAGCTTGATGGAGACGTCAAATATCTAGGGATGGCCCCGACTTCTGAGCATTCGTCTCGGCCCCAAAGTACGCACCCAAGACCAGCAGGCGTGGCAGATCTTGTTGTGTCTTTCAAACACTCTTTTACTTAATTGACTTAAACACTCGCTTCTTACAAGTTCGACTGTGTACTAATAGTTTCGTTATTACCCAAACAATTATCATCACGATGGTTCGCGGAAAGCTTCTCGCCACCTGGGCGATAGCTGCCATCACCGGCGCCACGGCAGCTTGTACGTCAAACAGACACCAGACCGCTGATGCAGCCGCAAACGCATCACCAGTCTCCGAGAGTGTTGCCAGCCCTAGCTCGCCCAGTTCATCTGACTCATCTGGCTCGCCTGGCTCCAGTGCCGCCTGCGTCAACAGTCCTTCGGATAGAGCGTGCTGGACGGAAGGATTTGACCTATCCACAAACTACTACGATGAAGTTCCAGATACAGGCGTGGTGAGAGAGTACTGGTTCAATGTCGAGAACGGCACCGCATCTCCAGATGGCCATGAGATGCCAGTGCAACTCATCAATGGATCGTTCCCTGGCCCAACCATTATTGCTGACTGGGGTGACACTGTTGGTACGTACATACAGATACGAGCCTTCGCTGCGTCAACTTGCGGAGCTAACAGCGGAGTTGAATAGTTGTTCACCTGACCAACTCGCTGCAGACGAACGGAACCGGTCTCGATTTCTATGGTATCAGACAGAACTGGACCGATCAAATGGATGGCGTTCCTAGCATCACTCAGTGCCCCATCGCCCCCAACGACACTTATACCTACAAGTCGCGGGCTGTTGAATTTGGAACCGGCTGGTATCACTCTCACTTCTACGTGCAAGCTTGGGATGGAGTCTTTGGTGGTATCACCATCAACGCACCGGCCTCAGCGAACTACGATGTCGACTTAGGCCACCTCTTCCTCAATGACTGGTACCACGTGAGTTCAAATCTTGGATTTGTTGTAAAGAGAACCAGTAATTAACTTTTCCCACTCAGCAAACTGCGGATGAGCTTGTTACCAAAGCAGCCACGGGAGGGCCCCCAACAGCAGTCAACGGTCTGATCAACGGTACCAACACCTTCAACGACACCATGGGCTCCAGGTTCGAAACGGTGTTCGAAGCCGGGACCAGGTACCGCCTTCGCCTTGTCAATGCCGCTGCAGACAACCATTTCCGTTTCATGATTGACAACCACACCATGGAGGTTATTGCAACGGACTTTGTGCCGATTGTCCCATACAATGCCACCCAGCTGAGCATTGGTATGGGTCAGCGCTACGACATCATTGTGGAGGCCAAGGATCTTACCGATGGCGACTTCTGGCTACGATCTATCGCACAGGAGTCTTGCTCCGAGTCTGATGCCGTTGACGATGTCAAGGGCATCATTCGATACTCCAACTCGTCCACCTCAGACCCCACGACCTCGGCGTACAGCTACACTGACTCATGCTTGGATGAGGCATCCTCCAACCTGGTGCCTTACCTTCCCATTAATGCGTCTGACACTTACATCAGCGCTGACGAGAAGGTTGCCGTCGAAGTCACAGACAACGCACTTCTCTGGACGATGAACAAGACTTCCATGCATACCCAGTGGGAGTATCCTACCGCCATGCAGATTTCACAAAAGAACTCGACTTGGCTCACCAAGCAAAATGTCATCCACCTGCCTGATGCTGACAAGTGGGTGTATATGGTCATCCACTCGCCTTTTGCCCAGGACCACCCCATGCATCTTCACGGCCACGATTTCTGGGTTCTGGACTCTGGATACGGCAACTTCGACAGCGATCAGGCTGATCGCCTGACCTTGGTAAACGCTCCCAGAAGAGATGTAGCTATGATGCCTGGTAGTGGATACTTGGTCATCGCATTCAAGACGAATAACCCTGGTGTAAGTATTCGATCATACCAGCTGTCTTCAAGATTTTCAGATCACTGACCGACATTCTATTCAGGCTTGGTTGATGCACTGCCACATCGCGTGGCACACCTCGGAAGGCTTCGCCGTGCAAATCGTTGAGCGCGAGTCGGAGATTACCTATGACACGGATGTGCTGAACCAGACATGCACCAACTGGATGAACTACGTGGTCCAATCTGACTTGAACCAATATGATTCCGGTGTCTAAGCTTCAAATTCATTAATGTTTGTTGAATAGTAGTAGTCATCCTCAAGGCTCGAAGAAGTCCAACTCTGATAACAACGGATAGAGAAGACAGAGGATAGTCCATGATGTAATAGCAGCTTAACGCCTAAGCATCTTTGTACAAGTTTTCAATCCCATGTTGTCGCAAAAACGACGCCGTTAATTACGGGCAGCAATTAACGCCATATATACCCTACGACACATGTTAACTGTAGCATTCTCGTCGGTGATTTCCAGCCCATAGGAGTCTTTCAGATGAATCAGATCGCGCCCAATCCATTTGAAATGTCTACGTTGCTTGGGTACATGTATGGTTGATGTTACTGTCATCAGCATGCTTGCTCGGGTTCGATGATCTTTTGTTAGCAGTTGCTTGAACTAAACTAAGTACCTGCATCCTAAGGGCGCTTGCCCATCAATTTCACCAGCAGATCCATGTCTGACCGGTGTACATGGACACACGTGGGGAGAAACAAAGTACATTACCTATTTGTGAGCAAGGACGTGTGAGTATCAATCAGCAAGGAGTAGGATGCAGCCTCTATGATGCTTACCTCTACAGCATGATAACCTACCTTATCTTAAAGATATCACCATCATGCAAAACAGCTCGGCGACAAGACCCATCTGATAGCATGGAGTTGGTAGCGTTTACTTGTTTACTCAGATAAGCTTAAAATATTACTCAGTCAATCGTATTGTTTCGCCACTGGCATTGTCCGGCACGAAGTTTGGCGAACAACTCCAGCTGCTTTCCGTCCTCCAAGTTCAGCGCTGAGACCGAGAATTCTCCGGAACCCTTCAACCACTGCGCTGCGCTATCAGCCGAACGAGATAATGGCGGCATAGCTCTATCGGTATTCAGACGTATTGTGCCGCACCGCGATCGGGAATAAGATGATATCTTCGGGTTCTTCTTTTCCGGAGTGAGAGATAACGACTACCGGGTCCAACCAAGACCCTAGTCACCTTCTTGCAATGGCATGGTTCTCAGTGCGATGCAACATTTGATTCGTCCAAACTGTAACGGTCTCGATGGTCGCCACAGACTTATCGATGGGGATGTTCTCCAAAATGCGTAACATCTCCACGCGATCCTTACACCCGCCGAGATATAGGTGCGTCATAGACAGCTGTGATAACAGTAGAGGGGCTCCGACGGGCAGTCACGCAGTCACATATAACGATGGCAGGGGCACTCGTCTCGATAACGAGCATTTTTTGTCTGGAGTGTCATCCAAGCTCAGCAACGCCATCATCATGAGTTCCGACGGAAAGATCGATGTCGAAAAGGCCCCTAGCCTTGGTGGTGGTCAGTCCGAGGTGTTGATCGGCGAGGTCAAGGACATCAAGAACGCTGATGCCGCGCTTGAGTTCCTTCGAGATGGCGGAGATGTCACACCCATGACAGCGGAGGACGAGCGCCTTTTGAAGCGCAAGATTGACTGGCGAATTGTTCCTCTCATGTTCGCGTGTTACATTCTTCAGTATCTCGACAAGACCTTGATCAATTATGCGAACGTCATGGGGTTGCAGAGCGACACCAATATCACTGGCGACCAGTACTCACAACTGGCCATGATATTCTACGTGAGCTATCTAGCGTTCGAGTTCCCTCACGCTTGGGGCATGCAAAGATTCCCAACGGCCAAGTACATTGGGATCATGGTCTGCATGTGGGGTACGGTGTTGGCAACTACATCAGCCTGCCACAACTGGGCGGGATTGGTTGTGACAAGAGTCCTTCTAGGAGTTTTCGAAAGTGCTGTTGCTCCTTCACTAATCGTCATTACGACGATGGTAAGTATCCGCCTCTGCTTCTCTGACTACGGTCTTTCTAACTACGGTCTTTCTAACGTCTCGTCTGCAGTGGTACAAGCGTCAAGAGCAGCCTCCTCGGATGGGCATCTGGTATCTCGGTACTGGCGGCGGGACCATCGTCGGCTCCCTCATTTCTTTCGGCTTCCAGCACTACCACAGCTCCGGTTTCACCTCGTGGCAGATCATGTTCCTCATCTGCGGATTGATCACCATTGCCATCGGTATTACGGTCATTCTAGTTCTACCGGATAATCCCATGAGTGCACGTTTCCTCTCCCGGGAGGAGAAGATATGGGCTATCGAGCGATTGAGGAGTAACCAAACCGGCGTCGAAAACAAGCGATTCAAGCGCGAGCAGGCAATCGAATGTTTCACAGACCCGCAGACCTACCTTCTAGCGCTCATCACCATCGCTTCAAATGTGCCTAACGGTGCCGTCTCTTCATTCCAGGCAACCATCATCAAAGGCTTTGGATACACGTCCAAGGAAACGACGCTTCTTTCTATCCCATCAGGGGCAGTCAGCATCGTCTCAATATTGGCTGCTACAAATATGGCAGGGAGGTTCAACCAGAGAGCCATCAATATCATTTGCCTTCTGATACCCGGGGTCATCGGGGCCGCCCTGATGGCTTTTCTTCCCGAGGACAACAAAGCTGGCAAACTGATTGGCAACTACATGACGAACTGCATTGGAGCAACTTTGCCTTTGTTGTATTCTCTGGTTGGCGCCAACTATGCTGGTCATACCAAAAAGGTACGTTGGAACGTGCTGACAAACATTCCGCAACAAATCTGACGCGTGTGTATATAGGTCACCATGAATGCTACTTTACTCATATGTTTCTGTCTTGGTAACATCATCGGGCCATTGACATTCACGGCAGAGTCTGCGCCTGGATACCTCCCCGCCAAGACAGCAATCATCGTGACCTGCGGGTTGGCGATGGTGTTCACGTTGATGCTGAGGTACTATTACGAATGGGAAAATAAGCGACGAGATGGACTTGTTCAAGCCGCGGAGTTAGGCCATTGGAAGGATGTAGAGTTCAGCGATATGACTGATCGTATGAACAAGGAGTTTAGATACACCCTTTGAGACTCTTAATATCCCGACGAAAGAAAATAAGGTCAGAGACATGGGGCTCAAGGAGCATAACTGGGACTTCAGACTTTGCGAGGAAACATTTGAATTTCAAGCAGCTGCTTTCTGAATGCACTATTGGTTGAGACAAGAGCTTCGCAAAGGGGGCAAATTTGCGCCGTACCACAGGCTTCTGCGTTGTATCGTTCCGGCCTTCAGACGGGTGCTTGCTAGATTAACTGATCTGCAGGATTGTCCTTTTGCCTCGCATTAAGAGAAGTACATCCGTTGAGGCCTCAACAGTCAATTCGTAAATGTTCGACAACGTAGGTTTATGACCCTAATACAAACTTTGAGACTACCCAAACCGAAATTATGCCCCAAATGGAATACGTTACAGAGGAAGCACCTGAGCTGACTGAACCCCCAGTCAAGATTTCAGTAATAAAATCAGTGCTGGGACTGCGAACGTAAGTACACGGGCTCATTTCTGCTTGTTTTAATGGTTTGAACTTACAGTTTGAATCCTCCTGTCCTTTTCTGGAATAGCCCATCCGGATCAACGGATGCCCGGACTCTTTCCGCCAACGCTCGCTTCTCTGACTTCAATCTTCCCCAGTAGTCTTGTCGGAAGTAACCATCGTTCATGAAAAGGGGCCTGTAGACGTCTGGAAGAGTGCCATCTTGGACAAACCCATCGACACGAGACTTCATGCCAGTATATAATTTGACCATTGTCTCGTCGACTGCAGCGTCATCAAGTTGAAATAAATAAGAGTAGTCAAACTCGAAGATGATCCTGTCGACCCCGTCGTCAAGATCGAGTAGATCGCCACCTTTCTCTCGACTAATTCGGGCTAGCGACTTGGGTATGGGCTGAAACGCCATCGAGGCAATAATTCCGGCTACTCCTGGTTTCGCAGCCGACGTGTTGTACCAGTGATCGTAGTAAGATCGCATCACTTTTGCACCCGCTGCGGCTGGTGGAAGAGGCGTCGTCTCTGTGGCGATGGTGTACACACTACCTTTCAAGACGAAGACGTTGTTTGCTTTGAGAAAGTCTGTGTAGGACCTCGTCTTACAAGTATTCAGCGTTGGTTTGATGTTCAAGAATTCGTCAAATACTCCAGATGGAGGCTGGGGTCCGTCGTAGAACAAGAAGAAGATCCAGATATTGACGCTGTTCAGCACAGTCAATTCCGAGGTGGCGATGATGGCTGCCTTTGGATCGTTATAATTCTCGGTAAAGTTTCGAATCGCCGCGAGTATCTCGTCTGTTTTGTCGCCACCAAATACCAAGTTCCCGCCCCATATCTGCTTCCTATGTTAACAGATTCTGTCGCCAACGAGAAAGTCGCTACGTGCAGGGGGTACTTGCCTGTCCTATTGCATATGCTTGCAAGTCATATCTGGTTACGATACCGTATGCATTCCCGCCCCCCTTGATAGCAGCAAGGAGGTCCGGGTTAGAAGTACTGGACGCGGTTACTATCGATCCATTCGCCAGTACCATCTCCGCCGACACTATGTTGTTTGATGCCCAGCCGTATTGGGTGCTGAGAAAACTGAGCCCTCCTGAGGAATATTAGACACGACACTTCCGTACCGAAGATCAACATAGAATATACCTCCTAGAAGATAGCCTCCCACGCCGACGTTCCCGATGCGGCCCCCGACAACAGTGACTCCAGTTCCTTCGAGGGCGGCGTGGACATCTTCCCATTTATTTCCAGGGCCAACGCTAACCGTGTTGTTCTCCTTGTGGTACACGACTTCATTTAGGCTTTTGGTCGATATTAAAGGGCCATCTTGCACGCTTGCAAAGTAGTCGTTCGGGTTATGTCCTCCCGATTTGACAGCGAATTGTTCTTTGTTGTTGAGCAGGGCCGTGACGATAGATGAAACCTCTGCAGCGCTCGTTGGGACAAGGATACAGCCTGGCTTCAGATTGCTGCAACTAGTCGACCTAATGACAGTTAGCAACACTTGACGATGGAGAAAGAAGCCTACCAGTAATTCTGTAATTCCTGGGTGTACTGTATCTCGATTCCATGGTGCAGTTGGATCTTGGTCGATTCGGATAGCTGTTTACACGTCGCGGACTGTGACTCAGCAGACACTATCAGGCCCAACAACACACATAGTGTAAGTAGCCTAGATAGAGAAACGCACATTGAGGGCGAGATGATTAGACCTGAAGAAGAATTCAATGAAAGTCTTGCGAATGTGGATTTTACGCCTTCCGTAGGAGTGCGCAAGGGGGAAACACTGGATATGTACTTTACTTCATCACGTTAGTTGAGGTATTTAAAGCGCTCAATTGAGTCTTTCTTTCTACCAATCAAGTCTTCTGAGAAACGAATCTCGGCCAAGTCTGACACCTTCCGTAATTGCAGAGATGGGGGCGCCATGATGCTGCTTTAGATGGCATCGCTTGTCAAGTGGATCAGGCGATACGGTCGCATGAGAGCTGACCATCACACCTTCCTACCCTGCGTCTGTGCCTAATCCGGCCTAACCGGAGCTATGATAGGAAAGAGAATCGTCAAGTTGCTAGGTACAACGATGCTGGTGATGATGGAAACTTCGAATTTTCGCATTTTCGTGCTTTTCGTGCTTTTCGGAAGCCCATACAATCTCGCGATGTAAACTCAACCTGTGAAGGAAGATCGTTGAACTAAAGTTTCAGTCCTCCATGACAGCCGAGCCAAAGCCAATGACATTGCACTGAGCCCATGGGGTGTTCCAGAACAGCAGACAAGGGCGAGCTTCCTTCCGTATCATTTTTGGTATGGGCTGATAGATTACATCCCTTGGACGTCGTCTGTTGTGGGAAACTTAAAGCAAGATGAAGTGGCATAGTGACTGGGCACTGAGGACCATTTTAGGAGTGGATGACTTGGCCCAGCTATGGGACTATCGGCAACATGCCTTATTGGTTAGTGCATTTTGTCATGAATCTTGTCGTCCTCCACCACAACCATCCTGCCACGAGAAACTCGAGCTTCCTTTGAAGATCGGCAGATCACCCACTTCGCCGTCACCCCGGGTCCACGTACCTTTGTTGGGCACCGTATCAGCCCAGGGACATGATGACTACATGTAATACCCTGCAATGTACTATGCAGTGCAGAAAGGTCGTGCCTCCTTCCTATGGGTCCACTTCAGCTCGCGTAATAAAGCCCCATGTTCCGAGGTGCATGAGACCAAGGATTTTACAGACTGGGACATCGCGTGAAGAGCGTACAAAATCCAATTGGCAAGATCAAAATAACCGAGGTACATCAAGTACGAAGCTTGATCTTATAGTTATCAATGTCAAGGAATCCTCCGTCAACGTTATCCTTTCATGTTCCCATCCAACGATCTGATCAATCGGATTTGATGTTACGTCGTTAGCGACTCCATTTCAGAACTGTTATTTTGCAGCTGTACCATTTGCTGATCACGTTGAAGCATCGCGTGACAGGGCTCCGGCGGTCTTCCAACCGCATCAGACAATGTTTGCTCATATGAAAGCAACCGGTCCAATCATACCTCGACCAGGCCGACACCACAGGGTTCCTGATATCTTGGAAAGGAAGTCTCATCTCCAATGCATGTGCGTGTGGACGACCAACTGAAGAATCTGCCCTCTTCTTGAACATTGTACGACTTAGGTTTGTACTCTAGAATGTAGAGCACACGTGCGTACACACAACCGATACAGGATTTTACCTATGGCCGAATCTCCTGTGTGGAAGTTTCCCTCCACGGTTGTAGACACATTTGAATCATCAACAGTCGGGTAGTAGGCCTGTTTCTTTCTTTTTAGCTGATTGAGGATGCTCGTTTACAACATCTCTGTACCTATCGTTCCTGGATTATGCTAATTACACTCAGGCAAACAGTTGAATCCTGTTCAAATCTCCTAATTCTACAACGTCAGGACGATCCTAGCGCTCTCGTTGCTTCCAAAAGAGGTTCCGCATCTGGTCGCTTGTGCCTGCATGTGTGTAGTGAGATGACGATTGTATCAACGAATGCCGGTCGAAAATATTCACACGTATCCGTTGCTCCGGGTATTTGGATCTGCAGTAAGAAACACCAGGCTGTTGGATGAACCCCCTTCCTCGATTGTGTTGGTCGCGACTTTCGCTGGGTCTGTTCCCAACAGTGCACATGTATCTACATCATGGCCCAGTCAGGTGAACATAGCTCTGCATTCCTTGTAACTGGAGTTTGCTCCCAACAGACCGATGTCTCCTCGTTTTGAGTGAGAGCGATTGATCGGGCCTCCACGGCTTTCTGGTTTATCTTTTCTCTTGATAAGGAGACACGTATGAAAGTCGAGAAATCTGCTCAAGGAAACTTCCTTTTCTGTTTCCAGACGTCATCTCTGAGAATCATATGGAACATTTGTTGACACTTACAACCTAATTTTCGCAAGCTCGAAAGGATTAGGTGCTACAACCCGATGTCCTACGGATCTTTTGCCTTACAGCATGACTGACCGCCAAGAATGGCATGCTGTACGACCCGAAGGTCTTGCTGCGCGGATATTGAGCGTCACAATCGGCTTCACCGTCGCCTGCCTCCTAGTTGTTGGTTTAAGGGTGTGGCTGCGATTGAAGCTATCGACATTCGGCACCGAAGATTATCTCATGTGTGCGGGAGTCGTAAGTTCCGTTTGCAATCACTGCTTCATCTACTGGTGTCATTCGTTTTCGCTGACTGTCAAGACTCTCAACATGGTGCACAACGCTGTTGCAATGTATGGAACGTTCACAGGGATTGGCTCTCCAGACTCGAAGCTGAACACTGCCATTATGATTGAGGGAGCAAAGGTAAGTCGAAGTGACATGGAAACTACTGCGACGTGCTAATTTTCGACACAAAGGCCATCGTCTTGTGGCAAATATTCTATGTCAGTGGCTCTCTGCTTATCAAAACCAGTATCTGCGCAACGCTCGTTCGCATCGCTACTCGACGCCGATTTATTTGTACTTTATACGGGCTAGTAGCAATGTCAGCAGTATCGACTTTGATCGTCATCTTAGCGGTTCTCGTTAGGTGCAAACCAGTGGCTGCATCTTGAGATCCATCTCTCGGCTCTTGTCTTGACCAAACAATTATTATCGCCCTTACATACGTTGTTTCGGTCATCAACATCATCAACGACTTTGCGGTAGCGATAATTCCGGTCCTTATGCTGTGGAACATACAGATGCGGAGGCGACTGAAGGTCTTGACTATCTTCATCTTGGGGCTGGGAATTCTGTGAGACACTCCATGTTACATGAGCTCTTTTTCGCAGTCTTCTGACTCTAAGACAGCGCATCAACCGCGACGATTATCCGCATGCCTTATTCCTCTGCGTATAGTAACCCCGCCAACCTTCTTCGTAAGTCACTTGCCATGCCGCTCCCTCAATCACTGGTAGTTGACAATAGAATATTAAGATAACGTTGGCAACATCATTCTTTGGACCGTGGTCGAGTGCGGTATGGGGATCATTGCTGGATGCCTTCCCATGCTTCACCAGCTTTTCAAGGGGCTTGCGAAAGAGTTGAGCAACAAAGATGACACATATGCCCTTCGGGCACGCTCAGGAATGATAGCTCTAGAACACAGCCGAAGCCGGAGTAATCGAGAGAGCCCCCCTGACACGGAAACTGACAGCACGCATGGGATCATCAAAACGACCAGAGTCGATGTAACAGCAGCATCCTTGCAATCTTCATCGAGGGGCAAAGACGACTCCTTGCGCAACGGAGGGAATATGTCTTGACAAGGCCCCTTGTAGGACCACAAGACAACGCATCAACCCTAGGCATGTATGAGAAATGTTTACTGGTACTTGCCCGGAGTGGGAGTGCATAAGTACCTACTCCGTAGACTCTGCAGGTACCAGACACAAGAGGTATCCAACCCTTCATAGGCTCCTCAATGATCATTGGCCAGTCCAGGCGCATAGCGGCCTCAACAGATGCCACTGATAGTGCCTCTAAATCTATATTCCACCGTCTTCAACTGCTACTTGGAGTTTTCCAAGAAACAACCAGAAACACGCAAAGTGCAGACCTGCCGTTTCTTCCGATGATGATCTCTGGGGCATCCCCCTAGCGCCAACACGACGCGCAGATGTGGAGTAATTATGAGGATGGTCAGAACCCTGGCTCAACTTCCAGGTCTGAGGTCCACGGGTTATGCGTGACAAACACATGCAGGGTGGGATGTTGGACAGGAGGCATACAGAACACAACTGAGTTGATAAACAGATTCTCGGCCCCAAATCGCATGATAATCTTTTCACCGTTCTTGGGCTCACATCACTTCTATTCCAATTTCCATTGACTTCGCATCACCGGAAGACACACACTCCAGAGACCATGACAGCTTACGAAGTCAAGGGCAAGTTCGCCATCGTCACCGGCGCTGGTTCTGGTAGGTTAATATTGCAACTCAAGCATAAAGTTATGAAGACATCATGGAAGAAATCTCACATCTTTCGGACTAGGTATCAACCATGCATTTGCTGAACTCCTTTTACAGGAGGGATGCTCAGTCATACTTGCCGACATTGTGTTGAGGCCCGAAGCTGAAGCGACTGTGGCCAAGTACTCCAAGGACTCTATTGATGCCAACGGCGCCTAGGCCATCTTCCACGAGACAGATGTTTCCGACTGGAACCAGATCAGCTCACTGTGGGCTACCGCACTCGAAATCTTCCCACAAGTTGATATCGTCTGCAACGGCGCTGGTGTTTATGAGCCTCCGTCAAGCTGTTTCTGGAATGCCCCTGGGGTTTCTCCTCTTGCCCAAGACCCCGTTGATGCTAAAGTTGGACAATACAAGACATTCGCGGTCAACACGATTGGACCGATTCGATTGGCTCAGATTGCCATTGACTATTGGCTCCAGAACCGCAGCATTGAGGGCAACTGTTGGTATCCCTATCACAGGGGAGTTGGTTCGAACCGTAGGGTCCTGGGGGTGACGAAGTATCAATATCTCTGTATGGATTGATTCTGCGTAATGTGTAAAAGGGAGATTCCAACCGGAGGTTAGGTGGGTAGTCGAGGTCTAAGTATACCCCCTCGAGGTGGCCCATGCTCTGCCCCTACTCGCGGCCGAATTAGACTTCCAATCCGACAGCAACCTCCTTTGGATCGCCAGTCTAGGCGGATACGTCCATTCAATGCACACGCCCATGTACTTTGCCAGCAAAGCTGCGATTGTAAGCATGGTTAAGAGTCTTGGTGGTCTCAGGAAGGAGCTGGGAATCCGCAATGCTGCAGTTTGCCCCGGAGCAGTTTATGTGAGTGGCGAAGACCCTGCAATGCATCATACCAATTTCTTCTCACGGTTCTTCTTTCATCCCGGAAACAAACTGACTGAGCACAGACTCCTATCTTCCACCCCGAGTATTGCCGGGATAGAGTCCGTCCCGATGATCTGACGCTCACTCCGCAGCAATGCGCCGCTGTCCTGATGCGTGTGCTTTGCGAACCCGAGTTTGGCGATGGAAACGTGGCGGAGACGATGTTGGTCGGAAGCAAGGATGACAGCTCCGTCAGCGTCCGAGAGGTCCCACTGCATCTGCTTTATCCAATAGCCGGGCCGGTGGGATAGGACAACCATCTGCTGGAAGAGGAGGTAAAGATGGTTAAGCGACTCAAAGAGGGTGGTATGAGGTCCTAGGATGTCCATGGCTCCAGTTGATGAAATGTTTCGGATGGCACAGAATACAAGCAGAGCGAAGTTCTTCAAGTTTCCTCGGAATTTATATACTGTGCAAGCAGTGCTGTGCTCTCTTCGAAAGGCACAGTCTAGACTGGAGTACCGAATCCATCCAGACTCATGTCGAGAAATTAGTTTGAAAAGATCTCGCAGGATAACTGTCGTGGGATTATCCTAAATGAAGAAGTTGCCATGATGAGTTTTCTCTTTTTTACTGTTATCAACCCCGAAGTTTGATTTAGATATTCGTACTTCAGTACCTTACTTACTTTCGCGCGAACCAATCGTGATGAATCCCAATGGTCCATGGAAGCTTCTTGCCCAGTCCCGATCAACACTTGCGGGTCGCGAGGGGCCTGGATCACTCGAAGAGCCACACTCAACCCCAACTCCACCGCACTAGGACATTTGAAGCTCAATCCATAGCCGCACTGATAATTATGTCCTCTGACGCTCCACAACAAGCAGAAATATCTTCCACCTCAGCATTATGGATGCTTCCCCTGCCTGAGAGTAGCATCCACAACAGCTCCAACGGAGTCTGGTTCATCTGGAAGAGTGGCCGAGTTGGTTATGGCGCCAGGTTAAGGTCAGCTTAACATCTGTTTCCTGGTGGGGCAACCCGCGCGAGTTCGAGTCTCGTCCCTTTCAAGATCATCTTTTGCTCAAGAAGGTGTCTCAGCTTTTTATTTGCAGGCCATTATTAGGAACGTTCTTGGCGGGCAGTCCTATGAGTAGCTAGCTCCAAGAGGGTAGGTCATGCTGCCATGCAAGTGTTTGATACATCGATCGTATTGGCGTTGTCGATCAAGCACGCGCAAGGTCTGTATATCTGCCGCATAGGTCAGTCACCTTTTCGTCACAATCACATGAAAAACGTGAGATTTATCAGTCTAGGTAGGTGCTTCAGCTTTTGACACAAAATTCTCGTTACGTGGCACGTTACTTGCAGTCAGGTTCTAGAAATCTCTGTCGAGCTTCTTCTTCAGCCTATAATCCTATTTGATGCTCATTGACAATTGATAGTCTTTGTATATGTCCCAGTGCATTAATCCCATCGTTAAGAGCTTCAGCCTCCAATGAACCCCTGACGACGTTGGTATGTGCATCTGATCTAATTTGATCTACCGGAGCAGCTCAAAATAGAGTTCGCAGCGTGTATCAGCACGGGCTCGTTGGATTCCAAAGGCCCAACCATGGCAAAGTCAAAATACCGTTACACCGAGTATTATTAATGTAGCATAGGAATCAGGATAAAGAACACAGATCCCATTTCATCCGGAGGTCTGAAGTCTGACCCCTCGTGTTCTTCATCCAGTGACACGCGGGAAGGAAAGACACTGCGCACCCATCCGATTCTGACTTCAGACAACCGCACCAGTCCCTTTGGTCAGAGTGATAGTATCAACTTGAAAGATACAGAATCCTCACTGATATCAAAGCTCAACTGCCGAGCATCCCGCGTGGCCTGATTTCGCCAAGAAATTGAAGACAAGGACCATCGTTGCAAGGCCCCCAAATCCCCGAAACAACATGGGCATCCTCCTGCAACGTCTCGTTGACTACCATCCATGGGACCAACTCGGAACATCGACAGCACTAGTCCTCTTTTCTCTCTGTGCTCTAGGACTTTTAGCTTGGCATCTCCGCGAGGATAAACCGTACTCGGGATTCAAGCTGGTCGGCAAGGAACGAGGAGAGTGGTCTTACGAGAAGGCGAGGGAAAGGTGGAACAACAACGCCTTTGGGCTCCTGAGGGCGGGCTTTGAGGAAGTATGCTGAAGCTGATCACAGTCGTTGAGACTTCAATATTGACCTGATTGTGTAGACTCATGGCCGGCCATTCCAAGTTCTATCCCCATTTGGGCCCTTAGTGATGTTGCCCCCGAGCTTGTGCGACGAGATCAGAAATGACAAACGCTTGACATTCACCGGTTTCATCGATAGAGTAAGTGTGGGAATGCGAGGCCTCGAAGAGACGAACCTCGACGCGATGGCTTAATCGTGATGACTGCAGCAATGGCTCACACGTTACCCTGGCCTAGATATTCTTCAAGACGGCCTAAAGGGGGAAGTTATTCAAGAGGCAATGCGGACGAATCTCAACCAAGAGCTGGGTGAGTGAGCTCCAAATAAAGAAAGAGGCAGGCACAATTTCTCAAAGACACAAGTACTGATCCGCATCTCAGTGTACCTAACAGAGCGACTCCGCGAAGAGACATCCCTCATCCTCAAAGAACAACTCCCATCAAGCAAAGAATGGCAAGAAATCAGATTCTTCCCCGTGGCAACTCAGCTAGCAGCACGTCTATCCGCAAAGATCCTCCTCGGCGACCGCCTCTGCCGCGATAAAGAGTGGATAGCAGTCTCCATCAACTTCACCGGCGTCGTCCTCCGCGCAGGCCGAGCTCTGCGCGCCTGGCCTGTCCTACTACGCCCCCTGGTGCATCGCTTCGTGCCGACGTTGAAGTACCTTCGGGAACAAATCAAGCAGGCGCGCAAGATCATGGAGCCGGAGTTTGCAGCGCGGAGGCTGTCGAGGATTGAAAAGGAGAGGCCTATGGATCCACTGTCGTGGATTGATGATGTTCGACGCGGGCGGGAGTTTGATGTTGTTGCTGGACAGCTGTTTCTCACGTTTGCGGCGATTCATACAACGTCTTCTGTGGTGACTGCCATATTGTATGATTTACTAGCGTATCCAAAGTACTTTACTCTGCTGAGAGAAGAGATTGTCAAGGTGTTTACCGAGGATGGGGGTTGGAGCAAGAACAGCCTCTTCAAGTTGCAGTTGATGGACAGCTGTATGAAGGAGAGCCAGCGGTTGCACATCTTGGGTTCCCGTAAGCCCCTCCTACCATGGAATTCTCGGAGCGATGTTCTGCTAACACGCCGCCTAGACATCATGAACCGCAGAGTCGAAGAGCCCATGACCCTCTCCGACGGAACCTACCTCCCAAAGGGCACCTTAATCACGGTAGCCACGCACAACACCCGCGACACAGCCCTCTGGGGACCCGAGCCCGAGAAATTCGACGGCCACAGGTTCCTCCGCATGCGAGAGGAGCCAGGGCAGGAGAACCGATGGCAGTTTGTCTCGAGAAGCCCCGAGTTCCTCGCCTTTGGCCATGGAACGCACGCGTGCCCGGGGCAGTTCTTTGCTAGCAACGAGATGAAGATTGTGCTGGCGCACCTGATCATGAACTACGACTGGAAGATTGTGGAAGAGAAGCCACCGACGAGCATGTTTGTCAGCCGGTTTGTGCCGGATCCGAGGGCGCTCATTGGGTGTAGGGCGAGGACACCTGAGATTGAGTTATGAGAGTAAGGATACACGAGCAGCAAAAAAGAACGAAGGATCGGGTAAGCCAAAAGGGAGCAAAGCAGCAAGAAAAGCAAAAAGAGAATGCGTCAATCGCTGACGGGAATTGAGCCCGACGTGGCTGGGAGGGGTCAGTGACGATGTTCGGTGATCAACATGAGATGAGCTGTAACTTACGGGTCGAACCCACAACCTTGAGATTAAGTCTCACGCTCTACCGATTGAGCTAGCCGGGCGGATAGAATCCAATGGCTTGGTGTGTTGCCGTGGGCAAGCCAAAGTCAGTTGATGGACCACTTGGTAGGTGGACCGGACGGGGTGTGCAATTTTCACGATCCATCTCTGGACGCGTTGTGTCTTGACAGGGGTTATCGCGTTTCCAGAAAATAGGGCTTGTTTTCTAGGGACTACGGTGCGGGGTCCCGGATGCAGTTGGAGAGGGGCCGGACGAACGCCCCAGGCCGAGAAACCCGCCATGACACCGAGTTCTCGATCTTGCGCGAGTCGGATGGCTTGTTTCCAAGAAGATGTCCTCGCAATCAGGATGCGTGGACAGTCCAGCATGTAAAACGTGCCTTCTTAGCTTTCTATCATGTTTGAAACCGATAGACTACGCTGATACTTAACGGGACATGTTACCTATCCTGTGGCAAAAAGGAAAATATGCCCGAGTAGCACGCTGAACCAGAGCTCTTTGAGATACCTCATGTTTTAAGTAAGGTACCTGCTCTGCTTGCATGTGAGGTAAGTGACTTGAAGGAGACTTCATAAATCAAGGCAAGATGGCGACTTATTGTTTATGGTAAGGCAGAATCAATAAGACACCTCGACTGTGTTGCTTCAAACTTGGTTTCCCGCCCAGGAATCAAAAGAGGACAAAATCGCATTAGCACACCATTGGCGACCATGGCAATAGAAACAGTTTTGACAAACATAGGAAAATTCATTTTGTAGAGTATATGCTGGTTGTACACACACGCAGACCGTTTTGGCCTGCCCGTTTTCATCCATTCCTTGAGCCACCTTGCACCCTTTTTGCATATCGATACAGATTGAAAGCTAGAAAGCAATAACCACCGCTATTACCACATCGCCCATGAACTCGTGTCTCGACACTTAGTGTCCACCTCCTCTGGCTCGCTTTGCGCCAGCGTTCCCGCCAGCCTCGGAATCTCCTCTAGGCCGTTTGTTACCAGGCTGGAAATCGTTGGCACCAGGGTTCAACGGGCCGGCATTGTGTCCTCCTCGGCCACCACCACGCCCACCACGTCCTGCCAGACCACCTCTCTCTGCACCTCCGCTCGACACCCTATTTCCGGCAGCGTAAGCACCACCTCGACCTCGTCCAGCTGCACCGCCTCGTCCTGGGAGGGGAATGCCACTACGTTGGCCTGGGGCAGCCTGCGCAGGCGGTTGCGGTAGCCCATGACCTTGCGCGGCCTGGCCCACCGGTGCCCCTTGTGTGCTTGAAGCAAAGGGGTTCTGTTGCTGCTGCGGTGGTTGCTGTTGCTGTCCTTGTGTACTTTGTGAGAAAGGATTGGCCTGGGCCGGAGCGCCGTTAGCAGCACCGGCCGCGAACGGGTTCGCTGCAGCAGTGTTGGCTGCTGATTTCGTATCTCCGGGAGCAGGTATTTGTCTCTTCTGAGGGATGCTGCTGCCCGGCGGAGGGATCTCGCTAGGAGCAGAGCCGCCAGATGGCTGTGCTTGTTTGGTTGAGGCTGCGGGGGCTTGGGAACGGTTAGAAAGAGAAGGGTGTTGCTTGTTTGAACCACGGAACTCACCAGTTGTCGAAGCAGCAGCTTGGGCCGGCGCGGCAGCTGAGGGCGCCGAGATCGAAGGACGGGGTGCCGTGGGTTGTGTGTTGCCAGCGGGCTTCGCCGGGCTTTGCTGCGGCGCGGCGGGAGCTGCTTTGGCAACTTTAGCTTCCTCCCAGACTTCCCCGACGGGTCGCTGAGGTGTCTTGGTCGCTGCCGTGGACACGACTTCGATCTTGGCGTTGGCACCTCTGAGCTGGTTGTCCTTCATGTTGATTTGCAACGCAGACTTCTTCTGTGCCAGCAGCTGACCTTCTTCGCGAGCGTTTGCGATTCTCTGCTCGAACTCGGCTCTCAAACTCGTCTCTGTCTCGTTCTTAACCTTGGCAGTCTGTTCCTCGAGTTTCTTTCTAAGATTTCCCGACATGATGTTTCGCACAGTAGCATTAGTGGAAAGGAACTTCCGAATCTCGGCATCGGGGAGCTGGGATAAGTCCGCGGCGCCGGCGGGTGTGCCGGTCATTGGCGTTGCCGGGACTGCATCCGGGTCTTGCTGCTTGATGGGCGTAGCAGGTACAGCCGGTTGTTCCCCTGCAGGCTTAGTAGGGGCGGCACCTTGCTGCTCGGCCCTCCAGATCACCTTTTCTTGCTCTATCCTGGTGGTGAATTCGGCTTCCAACTTCTCGCGAGACTGGCGTAGCTTCTCGTTGAGTGCGTTGCGCATCTTATCCGACCGCTCCTTGATGGTCTGGGTGATGTTCTCCTCGAGCTCATTCGCCTTGCGGTCAGCTTCTGTAGCCTTGGCCTCGGCGGCAGCAATCTTCTCTTCCAAAGCCTTGCGCTCAATATCGGACAAACCACTCGCGCCGTTCGTGGCACCTGTCTCCGCCGCGTTCGTGCTTATCGGCTCAGCGGCGGGCTGCGGCTGTGCCTGAGCAGCCTGCTGTGCGGCCTCGACAGCCTGATCTCTCTCGGAGACGACCGTCTGCAGCTGCGTCCGTAGGCCGTCGAGCTCTTGCTCGGCGGTCGCTTTCTGGGCTGAGATGGCTTCCAGCTGGCTTCGCATCTCGGCAAGTTGCTGCTCTAGCTGAGCGACTACTTCTGAAGACACTGATGTCGACGCGTCTGCGGCGGGTTGAGCGACAGGGGGTGGTGCGCCAGATTGGTTGGCTTGAGCATCTTGCTGTAATTTCTGTACCTGTTGCTGGAAATTCTTGACTTGTTGTTCAAACTCTGTCCGCTGCTGCGTCGTCGCCTGCAAGTTCTGTCTTGTTGACTCGAGTTCGGTGTTTATAGAGGTGAGTTGCTGCTGCAGTTGTTCACGCTCAGCAATCGCAGCGTCCTTCTCTGCGACAGCCTCGTTCCGCGCACTAAAGGCCTCATTCTTCTCGCCGGTGATCTTACGTGACCGCTCTTTGAACTGTTCGGTCATACGCTGGCGAGCGTTCGCCCAATTGGTCCTCTCCATCTCCAGCGTCTGCTTGGTTTCCTCGAACTCTGCTCGCAGAGGGCCTTCAGACTCCTTGAGGGCATCGCGTTCAGCCTGCAGATCAGTGATGGTCTGCTTGAGTTGCTCCATCTCGGCGGGATCAACACGGCCGTACTTTGTAAGGATGCCCTCGGTTCGCTTCTGCCATCTGTCACGGTCCTCCTGAACTTGCTTAATTTCTTCCTCGAGGAAGCCCTTTTGAGTCTGGAGCTCCTCGATTCTAGCCTCCAGGGGCTGCACCCTGCCCTCCAACTCTTCGATCTTGGTGTTCTTCTCAGAGATTTGAGTCCGGGCCTGAGCGAGCTCGTTGCGAAGAGTAGCGCTGCTCTCGCGGTAAAGGTTGAGTTCGTTGAGTTTATCCATCAGATCCTTGTGGGCGATGGAGGCTTGGCCGCTCTCGGCTTGCGAGCGTCGCTCCTGGTCGAGCTTCAAGCGAGCCTCGTCCAGCTGGGACTGGGAGTATTCGAGCTGTTGCTGCAGGCGTTTGGATTCCTGCACCTTGAGGTCGTACTGCACCTCCAAGATCTCCTTCTCGCGTCTGAGATAATTGTTGAGTTCGCGAAGTCCATCAGCTGCGCCGTCGCTTCCGGTTTCCGCGTTTTCGTTGGCGTCTCCTGCTGCCGCATTGCGACCCTCCTTGAGTGCCGAGAACTGCTTTGTGATGCTCTCCAGCTGCTCGTGCAGCAGCTTGTTCTGTGCGTTGACATCATCACGGCGGGCCTTGATTTCCGACATCTCCTGCTCGATTCGCTGTTTCCTCTCTTCCCAGGAGCTTTCACTTTGAGACAGGGCAACCTTGGCCGACTCCGCCTCGGCTCTCAGAGTCGCCGACTGGCTCTTGAGCTCGTTGAACTCGGTGCGCAATTGTTGGACGAGCTTTGCAGCCTCGGCGTGCTTGACGAGCTCATGTTCGTAGTCCTGTTGAGCTTTCGCGGTAATCTCCGACTGGGCACGAAGATCCTGTTGGTGGAACTTAGCAGCCTCTGAGTGGCGGTCCGCCTCCTCCTTCAAACGCTTGACCTCCTCATCCAGAATCGTCTTCTCGTCCTCGTACTTGCGGGCGACTTCCGCTTGGGAATCGCGAAGGTGAGACAACTCCTTGTTGGAGTTTGCGAGTTCCGACGACAGATCCTCAACACGCTGCTCCAGCTCCTTGATCTTGACGTCCTTGGCCGCGAAAGCAGCATCCATCTCTTCTCTGAATTGCTCTGTGGTCGATGTGAATTCAGTCAAAGCTTCTTCGTTTTGTCCGCTGAGTTGCTTGTATTGCTCCGTCTGTTCCTTGGCATTCTCGAGCTGAGACTTGGCGATGTCGAGCTCCCTCTTGAGGTCAGAAACCTCATTGATAAGTTCGCGAACCTCGGCCTCGTTGTCTTGGTCAGTCTGGGTAGGAGGTGCCATCGTGCCGGGCCTTGGCGTGGGTCGGGGCGCCAGGCGACCAGCTCTGTCTTCTGCGTTGCGAAGCTCGATGGTGAGCTCATCAACCCGAGCTTGCAGATGATCGCGGCTGGTCTTAACAGCGACGTGCTCTTCACGGATCTGGCTCAGACTGGTAGAGAGCTCGTCGATACGCTTCTGAGCTTCGCGGGCATCAAACTCCTTCCTGAGCTGGAGCTTCTTGCCTTCTTCCATTTCATCAGACAGCTTGCGCTTCGTGCTGTTCAGCTCTTGTTCGAGGTTGTCGATCTTGGACTGGGCTTTCCGTCTGTACTCGGATTCGGTAATATCGCGCTCGTTCTGCATGGATTGCTGGCTGGCCAAAAGGTTGTTGAGTCTCGTCTTCTCCTGGACAAGACTCTCGTTGTCTTGATTAAGACGATCTTGAATATCCTTCCACAACTTCTTCTCGGCCTTGAGGTTGGCAGCCTCATTTCGGACGCTCTCGAGCAAGCCCTTGGCATCGATGAGTTCTTCGGCGACTTGCTGGGTTCGGATCTCGTGCTTGATAGAGTCCTCTGAGAGCGATTGGTTACGCTTCTGGATCTCTTTGTTCTCGCTCTGCAGCGCAACAAAGTTGGAGTGGAGCATCTCGTATCTCTCGGAGGCGAGAGTAATCTGGCTGGTGATCTTGGCAACCTCACCCTGGAGGGAGTTCTTCTCGCTTGAAAGCCTGTCAATCTGCTCCCGCAAGGAACGTCGGACAGATTCTTCGTCATTTCGGTAGGTGTCGAATTCGACTTGTAGGTTACGCAGAGCAGCTTGTGGGGACACGCCATCGCCGTCCTCGGTCTCGATGCTAGTGAGCGGGAGGCGCTGGCCGTCATCAGAGCCAAGGATGGAAGCAAGCTCGCCGGCAGAGGCCTTCTGCTGGAGGAGACGTCTGAACATGTCACGCTCAGACTTGAAGCTCTCCATTGTTGATCTCAGGGACTTGGTCTCTTCAATCATATTGGCGAGCTCTTGCTGCAGTCGTTCGACCGACTGGTGGTCTTCCACAGCCTGGCTCTTGGCGGCAACGGCCTCTTCACTCTCCATCTGCTCTGCCAATTCGCGGGTAACTCTCAGAAGCTCTTGATTCTTGGCTTGGAGCTCCTGGATGTCCTTGAAGACGACAAACTTTTGGGTGATGAATTGGTGGGTATCCGACATGTCGTTGAGTGCACCCTCGGCAATTTCGCCGCGAGAAAGCTGCTCCAGGCGAACAGTCTCCTCGCGAGTCAACTGCTCCAAGCCCTTTTCGCGGGCATGCATGTTGAAAACCAACATCTGGATCTGTGTGCTGAGGTCACGAAGTTGAGTGCGGAGGATCTTGGATTCAGCCTGAGCATTGCCCAAGGCACTCTCAGCCTTTCGCGCGCTCTTCTTAGCCGCGTCGCGCTCTTCGAAGCTCGATTGGGAAAGTTCGGACATCCTAGTGATCTCAGCCCTAAGTGTGTCGGCTTCGTTCTGGAGCTCCTCGATTTCGGGTGTCTTGGCCTCCAAGAGAGCAATCATGTTGTCGAGCTCCTCGGCGAGTTGTTGGTTGCGGCGCTTCTCTCCTGCCAACTGCCCCTTGACCTTGTACAGTTCGTCAATAGCCTGGGTTGCGGTAATGGCAGACTTGTTGCGTGCAGAAGCGGGAGTAGCAAAAGGCGAGGCAGGTCTTCCAAGAAGAGAACCATTCATACGGGGTGTTTGAGGTGTAGATCCAGGGGGAGGCCCTTGTTCCATACGGGCGTGAAGCTCGTCAACCTCGCCCTCAAGCTGAGTCACTCGCTCCTCCAAGGCGCGACACGTCTCCCTCTCGCGTTCGAGTTCGTGCTGTATGCGTCGGATATCGTTGGCATGCTTCTCCTTTAGGCCTTCCTTCTCACCCTCCAAAGTCTGTACGCGGGCCTTATGACTGTCGGCAAGTTGGTTGGTCATGTCAACAACGCGCTGCTTGCTCTCGATCTCGTGCTTGTAGCTCTCCTCGCTGCGGGCGAATGCCTCCTGTTGTTGCTGAACCTTGGTGAGGGCCTCTTCCGCCTTGGCTTGTGCTGCGTCGAGGCGATCTCGGAGCTGTTGTTCACTTCGCTTCAGGGATTCGATGCTGGATTTGGCGTCTTCGTTTTGTCGTTGTAATTCGGCGATTCGAGCGCCCTTCTCGCGGCGGTACTTGAGAGCCTCCTCGCTTTTGGTCTTGAGTTCGGTCTCGAACCATTCGCCGTTGCGTCGCGCAAGATCGAGTTGTTGCTGTAGGGACTCTTCTCGGTATTTTGCGCTGCTGACTGCGGCCTGGGCAGCCTGGACGGACTGCTGCAAAGCTGTGATCTCTTTTTGGAGCTGGACGTTCTTCTGGTGCTGCTTCGCTAGTTCCTCGGAGAGCTCTGAATCGCGGGCGTTTCGGGACTCAAGCAAAGCCATATTCGCGCGGTTAGAAGATTGCAGGGACTCAATGCGGTCGCGGAGAGTAGTGATCTCGGAGTCGTGGTCGGATCCGCGGGACTTGAGCGACTGGAGCTCATTCTCGACCGTTTGTCGCTTTGTTTCTGTAATGGTATAGTCAGTCCCTCAAATCTTTATAACCCCACATCTGGCAGTTCCGTGGATGAACGAACCTTCCTCCTTGAGCTTTTGGCGAATCTCCTCGACATCCTTCAGTGCTTTGTCGGCTGTCGCCTTGAAAGTCTGGCATCTTGATTCGGCGCTGTGGTGGGCGCTTTCGAGCTCGATGTCGACCTGAAGCTTCTGGGCATATAACTCATCATGCTCGCGCGCTTTCGCAATGACGGCTTCGAGAAGGCTCGCGACGAGCTCGGGGGTCGGATCGGTTGTGGCCGTCGAGACCGTCGACTCGGACAGCCCTAAGTGGCCGGCCACATAGCCAAAATCCACCACCGCTGCCATGTTGTTGTTATCTCAAGGTATAGTCATAGACATCGAAAGCGGATCTCGGCGTTGTTTGCGTTCGGAATCTAGGTAGGTGTGTTTTGGCGATAGGTTCGCTAGGTCGCGCGTCAAACAGCCCACCGGTCGGGAAGGCTGAGGCAGGTGTTGTTGTGATGAAAACAAAAGCAAAAAGGATAGTCCCTCGAAGGAAGGTGAGGAAACAACCAAGAGCCGCCAACTTGGGTTGAGGCGGTTGTCAAGATTTGGATCCAGGCGACGAGGAATTGGGTGGGATTTGGCGGCTAACAGGTAGATCGCAAGATTTTGAGAAGAGCGCGACCAGGCGAATGTTTTCCAGCCAACGCACAGTGCAAGTGCAAGGCTGGGGGAGAGCTGCCTGCAACCAACGGCGACAAAGGAGCTCATTGGACCAATCAGAGAGCCTTGCCCGAGGAAGATGGATAGACCACCGAAGATTACCCGGCTGAGTCATCAGAGGCTCTGCAGACAAGTGGAGCCATTTTTCGGTGAAGGGAAATCAGAGCTTCCTGACCGATCATCCCTTGCCTTCACCGACGCCCCTACTCGATGACAACACAATTCACCGAAGTCTTAGGCCGGTGAGAGCGCAAGGGCCAGGCAAGCTCCACACGACGGGAAGCATCTTTCTTTGCCCTTCACCTTCTCACAAGTTCTTCCATTCCACTTGTTTTACTGTTGTCGCCTTTGATTGACTTTCTTTATTCTTTTCGACTCCTTTTGCTGCAAACGTAGCAGGTCTCTCGGAATGAAGCTTAAATAGAATTAAACAAGGAAGAAACAAGTGTTTGTCTTGTTCTGTTGTCGAATTCAACTATCTAACAATCAAGGTATCTGTTGGGCAGCGATTATCAGGTAGGGGGTCAATGGGATGTATTGATGAGTATGACGAACGAGTGGCTATGGGAATATCCCGACTATCTATATAGTGAGTGGAAGACCCTTTATACTGGCATATCCTTGGCAAACTTAGTCATGCTTGTGTAAGACCATATTGTTTCATAGGCATAGTGTGACAATCGTTGTAACGAGTGTACTGGGATGGGCCTGACAGTATCTTATTCGTAAAATCCTCCTCATCATCCCCATTACGCCTTGACTCCATTATTCTCCGAGTCACCGCCAGCATGACCAGTGTCAGCGCCACTATTATCGTCGCTGCTGCCCTCCATCCATTTCAGAGTATCCTGGCGTTGGGCCGGCATGCCATCCCATTCCTTGAAGCTCTGCCCTATCTTGTCCTTGCCGTTGATATATCGCCGGTGGTCCACTCGGCATTTGGTGAATGGGTTGTCCATGAGCCTCTGCTAGGGTACTCTGCACCTGTGGCTGGGAGTAGCTGCTTTGGAGCTCAGGTGGTAGTGGCAAGCTCTGGCCATACGGTTGCTGCTGCACGTATCCAGGTTGGCCCTGCTGACCATGCAGCTCTGACGGCAGATATTGACCCGCAGGCTGTAGCTGACCATTGGAGTTGGCTGGCATCTCAGACGACAATCTTGTCTGGCCGTGGAGTTCCACGCCGGTTGGGGATGGAGCCCATACACCGCCACCATTGGACGCAGGCGATATCGTGTCTGGATGTGGAGATCCCGTCGTGTAAGAGACGCTCATCTGAGGACTTTTGGGCGGCAGCTCGGACAGCATCGTGCCGCCTAGCTCGGGTTTGCCCGTCATTTCTGGAGGGCCAGCAGTCCCTGAAAGCGGGAATCCGGCCTCGTTCTTCTTCCGACGACGGTAGATGATGAAGGCAACAAGACCGGCAATAGACAGGGCACCAACGACGGCAATGACGCCTCCAATGATGGCTGCAAGGCTTGGAATGCTGGATTTTGATTTGCGGCTGGTATCCGTGCTGTCACCAGAGGTACCCGACGAGCCAGTGGCAGTAGCTTCGGCTCCCGAAGTCCCTGACCCTGTGCCAGCTTGTGCTGTTGGATATGTCTGGGCAACTATCGTAAGGTCAGTCAAAGCCGATGCGTCCTAGGGTGCATGATCTACTCACTTGACTCAGCGACGGTGGCCACCACCTCATTCCTAGCAGCCTTGCAATAGTAATCCAGCACGGCGACCGCAGAAGATACATCATCCGTAGCTGTGGAGGAGCAGTACCATTTGATATCTGATGTCACCGTGGTCATGACGATGTTGGTCACTCCGTCTTTCAAGCACATACAAGATGCCAAGGCCTGAGGCCCTGTCGGGCACTGATATCTCGTGAGCGAGTAGATGGCATCTGAAAACCCTGACTGCGCGCATGCAGCCAGCGAGCTGTATTGGGAAAGCGCCGTCATGTAGTAGGTCATATCTCCTGGAGGCGGCGAGGGCTGCGGGAACGATGTGGTGCCCTTCATAGCGCAGTACGCGTCGTAGAAAGCGAGGCCAGAGGTAACATGGGTCAGTGTCGTCCAAATCATCAGTCCGGCATATGCTTTGAACATACCAACAAGGTGTAAATGGATAGATCTGTGACATAGACGATGCTTGCGGCTCTCCCAAGGCCGACGAGAAAGAGAGACAGCCATAGCTGGGCTGATATCCGCGACATTTCTCCCAGGCGAACTGCAACAGGAACCAAAGTGTATCAAGGAATGGGACGTCGACGAAGGCCAACAGAGTCAGAAACAACAGGAAGCCTCTCACGAAGCATGATGTGAGAAGGAAGAGGGGACCAGATGGCCATGTCTCTGCCTAGAGCGATCAACAAGGCATGGGAAGCTAAGCGCGGGGGAGAAACAGTTCCTAACTCCCTGCAAGGGGTAATGAAGTCCACCGTTGAGCCCGTGGGGCCGTGAGAAGCGTGGAAGCTTAGTTTCTCCATCTTGGCTTAGGCAGACTTTGGTGGTTTGATGGTCAATCACCACCACGGCTGTCACTAGCCCCTGTCATGATGGCGCTAAAGTTGCACAACCCCCTTGACAGCTGAAGGGCTGAACCAGGGATAGCTTCAACGTGATCGCGTCTGCGGTTCCGCAGTGGGGACTTCATGTTCAGCTTCAATTGTCCGGACAGATACGAATAATCAGACTCATCGCGGAGTCTGGCGGAGTCTTCACTACCCCAGAAACATCGGATCTGATGCGGTGATGCCAAAGCTGGATAAGTAAAATGCCTTTCCTACTACAATTCAATGCGTCTTTAATCATCCGGGGCTGCGAGAGATAGGGGCACCGTTGGAGGTGTCCACAAGACAGCTTAGCTGCAGCCGCGATGGCGTTACTTAATCAAACACTGGTTCAGCCCAAGCCGGCGTGGTCTCGAAAGCAAGTTCACTGTCTGGTGTGTACAGCAGTGGACCTCGCACTTGCGATAGCCCATTTCCCTCGCCGACAGTACAGATGTCGGTTCAGAGGGTCGACAAATGATCCATGCAGAAGACAAGGCTGATTGTCTAACCTGTCGGTACTTGCAGACCTCTCACGGAGTCGTGATGGCTTCGTGATGGTGATGTGATGATAACCTCCGACATTCGCAAAAATGACTCAGGAGCCGGCAGACGCCACAAACCAGGGGCGACAGACACTAGTAGACGCGATTGGCGTGCCAAGATGAAGCTTTCCGCTAAGGGCTAGCCTTAATCATTGTGCCACGCCGACACAATTTGCCAATGTGAGGTTGAAAGAAGCACAGCGTCTTTGACTGTTCCTCTGGGTTCCTCATAAGGTGCATGGAGCAGGGCACCAGGGGGGATCTGGGGACAGAGAAGGAGGATTTCAGCTTACATAAGGTAAGTCAAGAGCCGTCGGCAGCCGGATTGTTGCCCGGCCGAGCTCGGTGGGTATCCTGTCGCTAACAATCACCTTATTCAGAACGTGAGGATCAACAGAGTCAGTCATGCACAACCGCAACCAAATGGATTACTCACTCTTTGACAGACTATCCAGGTTCCTAGATACAAGAGTCTCTTCATTCTACCACGATGGTATCATTCTGGGTATCCTCCTCCACCTACCTTGCTTCTTGGGTTACGATCTGTACAAAAGGTACTCATTGATGGCATCGATCCGTGCCAACTGACTTCTGCCACCTTTCAATCTTCCAGAACGAGGGTGTCCTGTGTATCATAGATGAGCCCGGTCAAACACTTTTACTATGGCAGAGCCTCCCTCCTCTTGCCATTCAACTGAGCACCCGGCCGCCCGCGCCACCGGCGTACATGTAGCCAGGCGCGAGGCCCTCACCGAACTTTGTCAGAGTCCGGTTCACCTTGAGGGACAACCGCCTGGAAATGCTGCTCCGCTTTTTCACTTGCCTCTCCGTGCCGTTGGTCTCCTGTACTTCAGTGTCGCCATTCTCTTGCGGGGTGTTCAAGTCCGCGTCTTCGTCCTCGTCCTCGTCGGTCTGACCATCTTCCTCGTCGGACTTGTAGTCGGGCATCGCACGGCTACCGCAAGTCGTGCACATGATCTGATTGGGCCGAAGCGTCGGCATTTCGCTCTTTCGCCTTACACGATCCGTGGTGGGCGGGACTGAGTGGTTCAAGGAAGCCATCGGCTCAGTAGACACTTCGCTCTCCGTAGCTCGCCTCCTCATCGATCTTGCTCTGCGTTCGACCACCTCCTGCTCGCTCGACCACTTGATGGCCGAAGGTCTTGGTGTCTCCTCCTTCTTTTCCATTGCGGTCAGGTTCGTATTGACGAGTTGTGTCGTCGTCTCGTGCCCAGCAACCTCGTTTGCCATCTCAAGCCAAAGAGCATGGCCAATAGCATCGTGAATTACTGGAGCAGTGACGAGCTTTCGGCATTCTCTAGTGCCTTCTGCCCTGCGTAGTCGGCCAAGCTCTTTGATCTCATCCAAGGTCAAGTCGCAGTCGATCTTGATGTATCCCGACTGCCACTGCGATTCCCATCGCTCCTCGATGAAGCCTTCTAGAAAAGTGCATGCCTTTGCGACGTCCCTTTCTCGTTGAGTTATTTCGGGTTCGTTTTCTTCCTCCTCCATAATTTCCGGGGACCGCGCCGCTCGGGTTTCGTTGGCATCGTACGGGATTTCGAAGTAGTTGTCAACGTCGGACTCGTCGCCAGGGCCGCCGTCTTGCTCTCGCTTGGCTGCGTGAAATGCCTCGTCTTTCTGCGAGGGCGGCATAATCAGAGGCGTCCGTGGACTGTAAGGTTGATATAGCTGCTGGTCCAACGCCATCATGAAAGGGGCGGCTTTGCTGATGTTGCTGGCGGAGAAGCAGCTCATTCTCCTCTCGAACCCAGCCGATTTCCTCGACGATGCCATTTTGATAGGTGAAGAATCTCTCGACCTCCCAAAAACTGTTGATTGAATGCCGTACATGGTCAAAGTTCTCGCGGGGATTTCTTCGTAAGTTCCTTTGACAATTCAACCTGCTCGGGAATAGATCATCTAGAGATTATATACATGTATGCTCACAATGGTGCGTAGTTCCATACCTATAGAGGTCTCGAGACGGCTCAAACCAGACCTGAGCTCAATGGGGCCGCCACGCCATCGGAACATGACCTCTCCATATCAGATCACCGTACCCTCATGGCCGAGGCTGGCGACGAAAGCAGGAAGCCTGGCAAGCCATCGCCTTGGTCTGGACTGATGAGGCGCAAGGCTTATTCATACTCCAAGCGAGGAGCTTAATCGGTCTACCCTCCATCTCAATGGCGCTAAATGAACAACATCGGCTGTTTCGAAGAGATGACCGTAAGGATTATACACCACTGATTGTAGATCAAAGAACTTGAACTGGAGACGCGAAGGTGGGAAGGTATCGGGTTGCGTTCTGAAAAGATCTGCAAAATCTTGGGCGAGGCCTTGAATCACAGCCCTCGGATGTTCCAGACTCCAGAGGTAGTCGAACATTGAAAGCGATGGCTGAATGCGGCTGAGAGTGTTAGCCCTTGCCACACAAGGTACCTAGCTCACATGCAACAAACGGTCACAACCTCTGTGGAGATCGAGGAGTCAACAGGGTCCCAAACAGATCAGTTGACGACGATGCAGCCCCGGCAGCTATTTTCGGCCCGAATTCTTTCCCGTCGACTGTGCTCAGTTGATCTGGTTGACTACATGTACATGTCCTGCTGACACAGGGGTAGAGACCGCAAATTAAGGATGTCTTCCTCAGCGTAAGTAGATCCTGACAACCTCATGTTAATGTTCCATGAGTTCCTGCATATCCCACGGCCAGCCCAAACTTGAAATCACCCACCCATCGTTTGCGATACCTTGTTTAATTTACCCCGCCACCCCGCAGTGGAGTGGCTGGTAGTGTGGCATATTCGGTTCACGATCGGGGTGATTGATAAGCCGGCAAGATCAACGCTGGGATTATGACGAGAAGCGGGTTCGAGTCTTGGCACAAGCACTCACTGGGCCGGAGCCTGCAGAGCAACGGCTAGGTCTGCATTGATCAAGAGGCAGATATTAATATAAATGAACCTTAAACGCTCTGAGTTGCCGCCAAACGCAACCGGTTTGGACTCGCTTGTAGAAACTCTCCGGATTATCCCGAGCATTTCCTTGATTACTGCTCAATGAATGGGTGGGCACTTGAACAGGGTGAAAGATCCTCTCGAAAAGGTGTTGCTTGAAACGATGGTATTGCAGGAAGATCCGGCTGATGGCCCTTGAAATACATAGGTCAACAAGATAAAGTGTTTCTATTACAAGAGCTAAGACAGAATGATTGATCTATATTATTAATCCAAGCACTTTAGGCAGGGAAGATTTGATGTAGGTTGCAAGCTTCGGTGATATGGACGAGTCAAGAGCGACTTCAACATTACACGAAGACATTCTCCAACAGATACTCAATCTCTGTCGCCCTGTAGTTATCCTCTTCGACATAGGCCAGACCCGTACGGTTTACATCAAAGACGATGTTGTTGGGCTCATCAATTGTGTACAATGGCCACGTAGGACCTGTCTTGGGTCCGCTGCAGATATTGGGATCGGTGTCGTGAATGAAGGCAACCCACATCTTGCTCATGAGATCCGCCAGCTCGACAAAGGTCTCTGGCTTTCCTGCAAAGGGGTTGGTAGCGTAGCCAACACCATTCACGTTGTTGAACACGAACGCGACCTCTTGGAAATGAGTCGCTCCGTAGACAGCCGCAAGACCGTTGACGTAGACGTTCCACAGGTAAGAGTAGACGGACAGTCCAGCACCAGCGTACGTGCTGGCCAGGAGTCTCCGGCCGCTGTGCTGTTGGTAGTCACCAGCAAAGGCAGCTGCTCGCTTCCATTGGAGACCGAATGGATAGGCAGCAGGTCGGCCAACTTGAGAAACGGGAATTCCAACATCAGGGTCGTCGGGATAGAGCTCCGAGATGGCGGCAACCTGTTCGCTGTCCAGCTGAAGGGCAGTAAGCCAGGCCTGGAACTGCTCGGTGGTGTTGATGCCCTGCTTTGCATACGCGGTACCCTCATCGAAGTTGTTACCGAGCAGAAGGGGGACGTGTGCAAACTTGCCAGCGCCCAAGAGCTCGGATCCCTGAGCCGTGATGAAGTCGCCGTCAACCACAGCGCTGATGGTGGGCGGTGTGACGCTCAACGGATTGGTGCCGTTGTAGATGGCGTTGATGGTCTCCCAGGGAAGTCCTCGCAAGCAGCTCAGCTTGTCAGCGGCATCGGTACAGCCCGTCTTGTCGACGAGAGCATTGAACCACGGCTGCCAGTCGTCGGCGTCGGCGAACCTCGCGATGGGACTGCCGCTCTCGAGGATGGCGCTGCGGAACAAGTTGTTGTATTGACCATCGTAGGCGACGAGCTGCATGCCCAAGGAACGAGCACCGGCAGACTCTCCCCAGATGGTGACCTTGTCAGCGCTGCCGCCAAAGGCGCCAATGTTCTGCCGGAGCCATTCCAAAGAGAGACGCTGGTCGCGGAGACCAATGTTGCCAGCACCAGCGTCTTGCAGCTCGTTGCTAAAGAGGAAGCCCCAATACGAAACACGGTAGTTGATGGATGCAGCCACAATAGGCTTTCCATCCTTGACGGATTGATCGACAATGTAGCTTAGGTTGTACCTCGGGTCGCGCGAGCCTCCGTTTACATAACTCTGTTTCGACAAAGTCAGCCAAAGTACCAGGTAAAGGTTGTCTTACACTTGGCAGAAACTTACGCCGCCATGAACCCAAACTCCAACGGGCAGATCATCCCCTGGCTGGACACCGGCCGGACGCACAACGTTGATGGTCAAGCAGTCCTCAGAAACGGGGTTTCCCAAGTTGGCAGTATCGGAGCCATAACCAATGCACATCCAGCCATATGCGGAAGCTGACCGAGTCCCCTCGAACGTCTCGTTGAGCGGTTGAGTAGCAGCGAACCGGAGAGGCCCAACGGGTGGTTGTGCATACGGGATACCAAGGAAGAGGTCCTGCGCATACTGTTGGTTCCGCACTCCGACGTAGGTTCCGTCTGAGAGGTGCACAGCAGGAGGTCCAGGCGGCGTGGGCTTGGGACGAGGACCCCAATAGCCGGGCGAGGAGGACTCGGACACGCCCAAGCACGACGAAAACGCCAGAAGAACTCTAATCGCGTGGGAACGCATGGCAGGCAAGGCTCAACGGGCGAAGAAGTGCAGCTTCTAGAATGCGGTGTAGAAGGAAAGGGAGGCTAACACCTGCGTGTCTCATGTCAGTCGCACAGAGGTTCAGGCAGGGAGATTTTGATCACGCCCGTTGACGCTACTCGGGAACCAATCATGACATATCGTCTAGAAATTGCCTCAACGTCTGCTGGCGTAAAAAGAAATTTCCGTAAAGAGGGCTACTTAGTCCCTGCACTGCCCCGAATATTGGGCTACGACGACTCTGGACTAAGAGCCGTTTTGGAAAATAATCACCGGCTCTTCCAAGGCTCTGCCGATAATCTCTAGCAGACTTGGTCTATTACCTTAGATTACGATGACACATACAAGAAGTCCGTACCGTGTCATTGCCCCTGCGGATGGCACTTGGCAACCCTCCAACACGATTTGCGTGCTTCGGCTCAGGGGGCTCGACTAGATACTACTACGTAAGTTCATCCTTGTGTGGCATGGCGAGAGCATGGCGAGGCTTGCCTATCGATATCTCGGCCGAGGATTCATCCATTACGGGTTCGACGGGTTGTGGCCTGATGCCCAGCATCCCCCGCAGATTGAAGTCGTAGTTGGTAACCGTCCCTGTTGCCGTTGCCCCCAAAGACTTGGCGGAACATCGGAGAAGCATGCCTTATTGTGGTTAGCAAAATCGATGGTGAGACCACGCTACTGCGCAGTAACGGCGCAGCCAATGTCGTGTTGGTTAGTAGACTCTCTAGAGCCCCGGAAAGTCCATAAGAGTCCTGTTTAAACGAGATATGTAATATTGACCATCGGCTATAATCCTGGGGAAAATCGCTGGCGCACGAATGGGATCTCTCCGCTCAAGCCCCAGGATTAGAGTTCGGCACTAGAGACCCAGTACCCCAGCCATCCTGAGTTGAGAAGTGGGAACATTCCTCAGCTGCCCCGGCATTGCTGGGCCGGCCTGGCAGGGCTAAAGGAACTTTGGTAGCAGAATCAGTTAACGAGACCACGCACACTACAATTTCATTGATGACAGTTGCGTGATGCCAGTGGACCCTTTATGCGTCTCTAGAGGAGAACGTGGTCTGTATGCGGAGACGCTGTTGGAGCATGGCTGAATCTCCGATTGATGGACCCCGACCCAAAAGCCCATGGGAACGTTCCAGTCCTACCTTACTGTTTAAGCAGTCAATGGTAACCAACTTCATGCTCCCATCAGATCATTCCAAGACAAGTGTGGTTGTAACCAACAGCCACAGCGTCAGTGATGAGCCAGTGACTCTAGTCAGGTTTTTAGCTCCCTTGCATCCGTACCTCCCGGATTTTCAGACGCAAAACGAACTTGGCTCAGCGATCCAACAGTTCCGTTTGAGTAATGTATCCGTAGTTGCAGAAATCATGAGTTGGTCCCAGCACCGCCGTGTTGGCGGCGGCTGGCCTCGACTTTTCGTACGAACTGCGAGTACGAACTGCGAACCCAAATCTTCCGCTTCCGCCCGCCGTGATATACGTCGTGCACCGGCCGAAGCCTGATCTGTCTTTCGCCTGTCCGTGACGAGGTATCCCTAGGGGCAGGTGGCGGGACTTCGTCCGAACTCTGTCTCCCTCCCTGCCTCTCCCTCTGTAGGGAGGAGAAATCCTATCGCCGACACAGGCAATACTCGCGCCGGTTTCGAGGGGGGGCACATAGCGTGAAAATTCGGGTGCACTCACCGAAACTAAGGACTGTTCATGGAGGGTAGGAGGCTTTCTGGTACCTGGGGGCCCCCTTGCTAAGGATGCTGGTCTCAGATTTCATCATGTGCGATGCCAATGTATAATATGAGGGAGTGATGCACCTTCCCGCGTGCGCGCTGATCTCGACCGATTTTTTGAGCAGAATTCCTGGGGATCCACTGATTGACTCCCGTCCTTGTTTCTTACGACGACTTCTATCATATCTCGTGGCACTGTGCGCGTGTCGTGAGGTTGACGATGGTCGACGACAGAGGCACCAGACTCCTCGCCGTAACATGGTCTCTCTGTGTCGCTAGCGCTACGCTTCTCTCATTGCGTATCTATTGCAAGCTATGGCGTGGACGTGGTTTATGGTGGGATGACCACCTCTTGATTGTCTCAATGGTATGTGAAGAAAGATCGTCGTTGTTGTCCTGCTGCCCTAATTCATGATTGCAGGTGTCACTGGTGATATCCATCTCGATTAATTCCTACATCGTCTCTCTCGGATTCGGACGCCATATCGATACAATCAGCAGCGATGACCTCAAGCTCATTAAACTCAATACAATCCTCGTCGCCACATTCGGAATCATCGCAACGACGACGAGCAAAAGCTCATTCGCCCTGACGTTGTACCGGATCGTCACGAACCAATGGTTGAAGCACTTCCTTATCTTCATCATTGTTTCCATCAACATCTCGATGAACTTGGTGTGGATCTTCGGGTTTGCCAAATGCACGCCGTTGCAACGAGTATGGGACAGCAACGTACCTGGGAGTTGCTGGGACAAGAAGAAACTCGTCAAATTCCAGTTGTTTGCTGCCTGTAAGACTGCCACAAAGTATTGTTCTCTTGAGGCTTGCATGCTCACATGCTTCCAGATTACTCCGCCATTCTCGATTTCGTCTTGGCGTTCCTCCCCTGGCCGATTCTCATGGGCGCAACGATGCGACGTCGCGAAAGGCTTGGTGTCGCTGTAGCGATGAGCTTGGGTGCCATGTAAGATTCTCGGAATCCCCTTGACCACTTTGCGGTAGACTAACAATGAACTCAGTGCCGGAATATGCGGCATCGTGAAAGCTGTACTGGTGGTTCACATGACCAGCCCAGACATCACCTACGAACGCGTCGACTTGACAATCTGGACTTTGACAGAGCCTGCCGCATCGATCATGGCAGTATCTATTCCAGTCTTGTAAGTTATCTTCCCCTTGACCACGTCTGTCGTATCTTGGGTCTGACATTAAGTAGGAGAATGCTGTATCGAGAGCTCAAGTCAACTCAACGAAGTTATGCGCGAAACAAGTCACAGTCGCATGCGCTCGAAACAGGAACGAGGAAGGAGGTTAGGTCGACGAAGAGATATGGCCCAGGCTCACAATATGGTCGAAACTCTGTTGTTGTCATGTCCACCGGAGGGTGGCAAGAGTCGCAGGAAGCCCTTCAGGAGGCAGAAGGCGGCCAAGCATCGCCGCTCCCAGGCATGAACGGCATCATCAAGACCGAAGAAGTGAGAGTGCGGCACGAAAGATTAACGGGACTCAGCGAAGGCGAAAGCTCAATAGAGCTCGACTGGTTCAAGGAGGGTCACAGATGAGATCACGAAACCGACAGTTGATGGGCATCCAGGCTGGCCTCGGACGAGGGTTTGCACTATTAATATTTTATGAGTTAGCGCCACTTGATACCAGATATGAATGATTTGAATAGAGGTCGATTGGAGATGACAACCGATAGTTCTAGTAAATCTGCAACTGAGTGCTTATGGGAGCCAGATGGACCGAGAATAGTGAGGAAAGCTCCGAAACAACCTTATGAGCAGACCTGCTGATGCTGTTTACTATACCTCGCCAATGCATTCGAGTCATGGATAATGATGGCGTAATTGATTTTGCAACTTTCCGATCATAAATACTCTACGTAGACGGAGAGTGATGCTGCCTTGCGGCCTTCCCATGAGATGTTACTCGTCACGGGTTCACCGATTGCCCTTCAAAGCTGGCCCGCCATCACGAATCAAGCCGAAATCGCATACCACCACAAGACACCTTCTTGAAAATTTGACACTATGTATTACTCTTGTTTGGAAATGTGGAATACTCTGATATCCGTCGAGCCTGGCGGAACGAAAACGCTTTTCACTTAGAGGTGGAGACTTCGGTGAGCGAGCGGTAAGGCCTCGGTGAGGCCTCGGTGGCGTCCGATATCACGAGATTGGAGTCCCACAGAAGAGAAAGCCGATCATGCACTACATTCATCAACCTCAACAGTCCTACTCATCAGAGATCAGCTTCTTATGTTGTGTCGTATTTTTATGCTATACCAAAGATATTGACACCTTTGTGGTTGAAGTTCTGACCCGACGTCGGACGCACTCCAGATCGTATGATATCCCCAAGTTCTCGCAATTAGCATCGTCCTCGACCTAAGAAATACTTAGCTGATGATTGAGTCTAAATGCGCACTGCCGCCTTGAACCACAACAGCTCGTATCAAAGGGGGTTGGTTAGCAAAGAGTGAACTCATTTCTCTTGCAGCTCACCCCCTTTGTATGCCCAACTCATTGTATGGAAAGGTAGGAAGATGCAGAACAAAACAGCTGCGCTTGATCAAGAAACCTGTGATATTCAAGATCTCAATATCTCACCTCAGGCAAGTAAGTAAAAGGTGAATAAGGTCGCGCCGAAGCCCTCCACACTGGAGAATTTCCGCTTGCTCCGTCGATTCGTACTTGCCTCACCTTCGCACCTGCTTCACCTTTTCGCGCCTTCCTCTCGACGCACCTTCCCTCAGCAGCAGCTTCCCCATCGGCGCCTTCCTCACCTTTCCAACCGTCCGTATTTTCATCCTCGTTTCTCACTCACCCTCTCATCTCACTCATCCATCCCTCCGATTTTCTCCTGTTCTCAACCGTTCGTCGACAGAACTTCACGACAGAATTCCTAAATTTCGCCAGAACTTCCATTCGCCGAAGTACTTTCCAGACGACCAATTATCATCAGAAAGTTGCCCTTTCCCCTCATCCTATCCTCATTCTCATTCTCATCTCACTCCTCACTCATCCTCCCATCGCTCAGCGAGAATAATCCAAGAAGGTCGCCACCAAGTCGTCCCTCTAGCGAACGCCGGGCAAACATCATGATCGACCCGTTTATCGTCGCTTTTGTCTTTGCCGGCATCATGGCTATTCTCATGGCCCTGAGCTATGTCGGCAGCCTAATCTACCAGCTCTTCCGCGAGAACGACCTATTCGACCCCAAAAGCATCGGATTCCTTCTCCTCATCGTGCTCATACTCCTTTCTGTTCATCCACTGATCGGAAATCACGTCCTCGGCGTCTTAGCCAGCGTGGGTGCTGTCATGTTGGAATTTATCTGGGGACTCAAAGCGGCTGTCATGAGCCTGTGCAATGACCTGCGCCGAGTTTTCACATCTCGCCAGCCGGCCTCGAATGCAGGCAAGCAGCAAGTTGCCCTCCGATACGCTACCGAGCAGCCAACTGAACAAAGAAGTCCCACACCAATCCAAGCAGATCCCAACATATGCTACAGTCAACGGGAGGTGTGCGACAATGTTGAGGAGCGCCTGACGAAGTCCTTGCAGCAAAACAACTCCTACGCATCGGAATGGTGCCAGCTTGATCAGCAGATCTTAGATCTCCAATACGATCTCAAGGAGGAGCAATGTCGGGCTGAAAGGGCCGAAAGCAATCTCCGAGAAGCCCAGGCGAGACTTCTTGCACATGAGACAGACGGAGCTACCATCGCAAGACTTGAAGCAGAGATGGAGGACGAGAAAGCGAAGGCCCACAACGCCGACGTCTGTCGAAAGGCATCCCACTCGCACGAGAAGTACCTCAGAGGGGAGATCGAATCCCAGAAGGCGAAGTTCCAAGAATACGCCCTGCGCAAGGAAGACCAGATTGGCGTGTTGCGTACTGATATCAGGGCACTCCAGCGAAAGCAAGACAATCCCCTTCGGGTAGAGCTGTTGGCGGTAGGAATCCAGACTGAAGAGATGGAGGCTACTCTCGAGACAACACAACCGTCGGCTCTCGTCGTCACAGACCAAAACGCAGTACTCAATGACCTCGAGGAACAGCTCGCCACAACCCAGGCCGAGTTAGCAGCAACTCAGGCCAAGCTTTCGCTCAACCGCACATCAGCGAACTCGGCCGCATTCGAGCGTTTCATCATAAAGACACAGATGGACGATCTCAAGGCTGATAGCCAGAATACCGAGTACGGCTTGTTGACGACCATTGCCGAGCTTCGCGCGGAATTGATCGAGACCCAAGCACAAGCAACGGCTGCCACAGAATGGCAAGTCGCTCGGCAAGATACTAATGCATCAACGTCGGCAACCGTTGTCGCGCTACAAACAGAGTTGGCCAATGTCAAGGGCGAAGCTAAGTTGACCATTGAGTCGCAAGGCGCCCAGATCCAAGAAGCCGCAGGCTTCAAGGCGGAGGCTGAGAGAGTGGTCGCTGATCTTCGCAACGAAGCCGAGCAGATGCGCCAGGAGAAGGATAGCCTCAAGCAGCAAGTGGATCATTTGGCTGCCGACCACCCCAAGATTGCCGTATTACGACAAGAGTCAGAGCAGATGCGCCAGGAGAACGATAACCTCAAACAGCAGCTGGAGCAAATGTCTGCCGATCACTCCCAGATTGCCGTGTTACGACAAGAGTCAGAGCAGATGCGCCAGGAGAACGATGATCTTGAGCATCAGGTGGAGCAAATGGCTGCCCAGAGCCCTCAGATCGCCCTGATGCAACAAGAGGCGGAGCAAGTGCGCCTCGAGAAGGATTATTTCCAACAGCAAGTGGAGCAATTGACGGCCCAGAACTCTCAGATTGCCATATTACAGCAAGAGAGGGACAGCGCGATTCAAAAAGCCCGCGTCGTAGAGGACGAAGCGATGGTGGCCTTGCAAGCAAAGGCGGCGCAAATAACCCAGTTGAGTTTCGATCTGCGGAAGGCCCGCGACGAAACCACGCAGGCGGAAGAAGACGTCTACGGATTCACCCAAGAGCTTGAAGAGGAGCAAGAGAGGCTGCTGAATGCCCTGCAAGCCGAGAAGGCTGCCCTACACACCATCGCCGACTTGAAAGTGGCCAGGGATGATTTCTGCGCCGAGACCGAACGCTTGAGCGAGGAAGTGCAACGTCTAGTGAACGAGAACACCAAGTTGACGACTGAGATGAAGAAGTTTGCCAACGACCAGCTGCTCAAGGCCAACTTGGTGAAGAAAGGCAAGATGCAGGAGCTATCCAACAAGGACGGTATCTTGGAACTCCTCAAGAAAACCCACGAGACCGAACTTCAGAGAAAGCAAACCAAGCTCGACGAAAGGAAGGCCACGATTGAAAAGCTGTCATCGCAGTACGCTGAGAGCTGTGCGGGCAATACCAGATTACGCGATAAGACGAAGAAGGGCCGCGAGGACCTCACGCTCTTGGTCTCGAGAATCAGAGATCTCGAGGGACAACTCCGGGACCCCAACTCCCGCCCCAAACTCACTGCCCTTCAGGCCGGAAGCGTGGCAATAATCTTCCAGCAGATTGAAGATGGCAAGCACCCTCTCTCACTCGCCCCAACTCCCGCGGAGAAGCCAGAAAGCGCGCAGGCAAGCGGCGCGAAGACGATGCGACCGATGAAGCCATTGCCCAACAGAAGAAAGAAAGTCTGAACAGCCCCCGAAGAGCAAGGCGGGCCCTTCAGAGGCGATGGAGGAGTGAGCGAGGAGGCCATGTGCTTCGATTCTTTCCTGTTCGGTGCGAACCCATTTTTTCTGTTGTATTATACTTCTGTGATGAGGGCCGGCGAGCCCAGTTCACGGATACGGACATGGTTGTGGTCATGGAATGGTTTCGTTTATAATAGGATAGTCACGGTCATGAACACGGTTTACGGGTACGGTTATGGTTACGGAATTCCGCTACGGATATAATAATTGGTCGTGGTATTGAGCCGAATGTGTCGCTCAAGAATACCAGGAATGAAAAGCTTTGATTGCGCAATTGAAATCAAATGGTATTGTCTTTTGTGAATGCGTGATGCAATCCATCCTACATATCCTCCAAGTCCAGGCCGTCAACCTTGCCCAGGAAGTCTCCTGTACCGCCTCGCAACAGCTCCTCAATATCGAGATTGCCCGACGTGATGTACTTTTCACTGACACCAGCATTGACGCGCTTTGACAGCAACTCCCGAAGCTGTGCCCTCATCGCCCCCATCTCCGCTTTGCTAATGTTCTTATCCTCCTGTTGCTTCTTCTTCCGCTGACTTCCACGACCCGTCCACGTCCCCGCCTTCTCCAGCTCGTCGCTGTCGTACTCTACACCGAGCTCCTCAGCAGCAGCCTTGACCCAGTCCTCGTCCTTTGTGCCCTTCTCCTTGGCGAGCGTCGCGTCGGTGAGCTTCTTGGCCAGATCGAGCCTAGGCTTGAGGCGGGACGCGATGCGGCGGTCGATATCAATGGTCCGCATAAAGTACTTCTTCTTACTCGAATGCTTCTCGTGAACCTTGGCCGCGAGTCTGCGCGTTGGCACGACCTCCTCGGGTCCGCAGAGAATGATACTCAGACCCGTCTTCTCGGCACGCGCGGTACGACCGGAACGATGGACGTACATGTCGGCGGCGCGGGGGACGTGGTAGTGCACGACCTGGTCGATGCCGGGGATATCGAGACCGCGGGCGGCGACGTCGGTGGCGATGAGAACGGATGTGGTGTTTGCCTTCGTGGCTGTGAACTTTTCGACGGAGCGGAGACGAGCCTTTTGCGCCATTTGGGAGTGGAGGCCCATGGCGTTGAGGTTGAGGTTTTGGAGCATGGGGGTGAGACGGCGGACGGCGCTGATTGAGTTTGTGAAGACCAGAGTGCGGCGGTTGGGGTTGAGGAGGAGGATCGTGTAGAGGTAGAGATCCTGGAACAGCGTTAGTTTCGGCGTTTGGGATAGTCTGGGAGGGCGATGCTATCTTACCTTTTCCATGGCACCGCACTCAATAAGACCCTCCTTGAGACCGGCAGCCATCTGCTTTGCGGGGTTGGCGTCGATAAACTTTGGCTTCTCCTCGCGGAAGTTGAGCTTCTTCAGCAGATACTCCATGTTCTCCGTCTCGGACATGAGACCCCATTTGCCCTTGCCGGCCAGCTTTTGCTGCAGTCCCTGGTGGAACGTGGCAGAGAAGACGAGTGTCTGCCGTTCCGAAAGCTCCTTCTCATCCTCGTCATCCTCGTCCACAACCTCACGGTCGAGGGCGTCGAGGATCTCTCCCGCCTCCTTGAAATGTCCCTCGCTCAACAGTCTGTCAGCCTCATCGACCACAAGGTACCTGATCTCCCTGAAACCCTTCAGCAGCTCCGTGCTCGAGCTAAGGACCTCCCACAGACGACCTGGCGTACCAATGACGATATCCGCCTTGGCTAGTTGTCTCTGCTGCTTGAAGATTGACAAACCTCCCGTCACCGAGCAAACAAATGGCGCGTGGGGCAAACCGGCGCAAAGGCTCTTGATGTGGTTGGTGATTTGATGAGCCAATTCTCTCGTCGGCGAGAGGATGAGTGCAAAAGGGGTGTTATCCGGCTTCTTCTCGTCCTCCTTTCCCTCAAACTTTTCGAGCCACTCCTCCACGATGGGAATCGAAAACGCCAACGTCTTACCGGAACCCGTAGAGGCCTTGCCGATGACGTCGTGGCCAGCGAGGATTTCGGGTATCGACGAGCTTTGAATCTTTGATGGCTTCGCAAACTTCAACTTCGCAATGGCCGCAACGAGCGCGGGGGAAAGACCAAGGTCCACCCAGGGGGTCATGTCGATATCCTCCTCGGCCTCTTCAGTTTCCTCGAGTGCCTTGAAGACGTTGCTCTCAAGCTTGGCGTCCTCCGGCTTGGGCTGAGCCTTCTTCTGCTTCTTTTCCTTCTTTTTCTTGCCTTCGGGTTCGGCTGCGGGTGCGTGTGTATCGGCGTCTTTCTCGTCGGCTTTGTCTAGAGGCTTGTCTTCCTTTGTCTTTTCCACCTTTTGCGCCTTTTGTTCTGCCTTGGCAGCAGCCTTCTTCTCCTTCTTGGTCTTCTTAGTCTCTGCCTTTGGTGCTACCTCTGCTTCAGCCTCCATTATTGTATCGGGTTGTGTAGGCGCGGGCTCAGAGTCGCTGAAGCCTTCGAAATCGTCTTCGTCGTTCTCCTTCTCGTCGCCAGAGGGAATAGCTGCAACCTGCTCTTTAGTCAGTCATACAATGCACTGAAGGGGAAAGGGAGGGGGGCATAAGTTGGAATACGTACAAACTCGACGTTTTCGCCATGCTTGACTACATCAACGCCCTCGATAACCTCCAAGCCGTAGAAGCCCTCTGCATCCTCAAACATCTCGGGAACTTCAACCGCCTTCCATGGCAGAGCACTGACGGCGACCTTGCGCTTCTTCGGGGCCGCAGTCTTTCCGGCGGCAGACTTTTGGCGCTTCTGGGGGTTCTGGGCAGCCCCAGAAGGCTGTTGCTTTCTCTTGTGCTGCATCTTGGCGGTCCTGATGTCGTATATACAGAGGGCGCAAAAGACTTGTCGTGGAAAATGCCCCGCGAGTAGGTAATCTTCACGTCTACCACTAAAAAATAAAAAAAAGTCGATGTGCATTTCGCCCAAGGAATTGAGCGCCGCTGCTCTGCGCTGCTCGAAATTTCTGGCGGACACGGAAAATACTTCGGCCGGAGAAATGGACCCCTGGACGCCGACGAATGCACAGACCGCACCTTAATTCAGCCCTACGAGAACAGCGCTGCAGCAAATTTTCTTTGGCGGCCACAGCAGGCGTCGACCCCTCCAAAAAAAATAATTGCTGGCATTTTCCCCTCCCCCGCAATTTCCCATCTCAAATCACCACTCACTCGATAAATCCCTTCTCTCATTTGCACTCACTTCAAAATGGGAAAGTCTTCCAAGGATAAACGCGATGCTTACTACCGTCTGGCCAAGGAGCAAGGCTGGCGTGCACGCAGTGCCTTCAAGCTGTTGCAATTGGATGAAGGTGACTCATTTTACCCCGCCATCCCGTGAAGTTTGGCTGTGAACGCTAATGGCGATGTAGAGTTTGACCTATTCGCCAACGTGACCAGAGTCGTTGACCTGTGTGCTGCCCCCGGTAGTTGGTCTCAGGTTCTATCCCGTGTTCTTATCAAGGGAGAGAAGTTCGGCCGTTCAGCATGGGAGGATCGTGAGGCCAAGTTCCGCCAGGAAATGTTGGGCGTTTTCCCCGCCACCCCTGAATCTGCCATACTAGGGGAGAAGACCCAGACCGAGACTGCTCCTGAAGAAACGCAACCTCGCAAGGACGTCAAGATTGTGTCCATCGATTTGCAGCCCATCAGTCCTCTTCCTGGCATCATCACATTGCGTGCCGACATTACGCACCCCGCCACGGTGCCTCTACTCCTCAAGGCTCTGGATCCCGACTACGACGCTGCCAACTCCAAGAGCCAGAAAGCTAGCCATCGTGTCGACCTAGTCATCAGCGACGGTGCCCCCGACGTTACTGGTCTTCACGACCTGGATATTTACGTCCAGTCACAGCTTCTCTTCGCCGCCCTCAACCTCGCGCTTTGCGTACTGAAGCCCGGCGGCAAGTTTGTCGCCAAGATTTTCCGCGGCCGCAACGTCGACCTCCTCTACGCACAGCTCAAGATCTTCTTCGAGACCGTCATCGTCGCGAAGCCAAGATCCTCCCGCGCAAGCAGTGTTGAGGCCTTCATCGTCTGCATCAACTTCCAGCCCCCCGCCGGTTTCCAGGCCAGTCTCGAGAACCCGCTTGGCGTTGGCCACGAGCTACCGAAAATGGTCGAGGAGAGGAGGAGCCAGCTGCCTGCTACTGCTGATGCGCTCATGCAAAACCCCCTGACTGGGAAATGGGACTCTGCTCCCACGGCGTCTGCGACAAGAGGAGACGGCCAGGCTGTTGAGGTGGAAGCCTACGACGAAACGGATGAGATAACGGATCACGAGAAACACATTAGATGGATTGCGCCCTTCATTGCCTGCGGCGACTTGTCGGCGTTCGACTCTGATGCATCATACCAACTGCCCGAAGATCATGTCTCCTTGGACCCTGTTCAACCCCCGACGGCACCCCCGTACAAGCGCGCGATTGAGTTGAGAAAAGCTGCCGGTGGGGCGTACGGCAAGACGTCAATCAAGGCATGATGAGTACAAAATCTTCTCAGTACCACGCCTGGGTCTGCGCTCAATTTTCATCCTCCTCATCCGACGGACCATTCGGCATTGCAGGCCCCCGCTTCTCAAGCAAATATAGCTTCCCTGAATGCGACATACCCCATTCAGTTGTCCCCAAGGCCTGCTCATACAACTTACTCGCTTGCGTCGAAGACGTCAGGAGCAAGAAGCGTCGCAAGTCGGGCCACTCGTCCAAGATCTCGTTCAAGCACTGCATCAGCCACGGCGCCAGCCCTTTACCCTGGTGCGAGGGCAAAACGTATATGTCTGCCAGATACCCAATGGTGGCGTAATCCGTCACGATACGGGCGAAGCCTATCAGCTCAGGCCCTTTTTTCCCTGCGTGACGGTCAGAAAAGGAGCTTTAGGTGAAAGTCCTGTCGACATACCTGCAATGTCGGCGGTAGACTGTGGGAGTTTGTACACGCCGAGACACAGCGAGTTGTCTATCAGCCTCTTCAGAGCGACTTCCGGCACGCGCTTCGTCCACCATAGCAGCTCGGAGTCAAAGGCATCGTTCACGGCGTTTAGGTCGACTAGCGACCGGTCGGTGGAGATGAGGTACTCGTCCTTGTACCACTGCTTAGATATCTGGTTCGGCATCGTAGCCCGCTGCCTAAATGAAAGAATTGAAGGTGTAGTTGAAAGATACGTGAAACTCCCACCCTGTCTGTGGTGCCCGTTCCGTAAGGTAAGGTACTTTGTCAAACCTAACTCTACGAGGGTTGAGCTCGAGACTGCATGCGGAGGAGGAGGATCGAGCGGGAGGTTCGCCCCCGCCTCCGAACAAATGTCCATCGCCTCACGTCATGCCCGCCCGGATTGGGACTTTTGCAAGCCGCCACCCCCGTCTATGAAGGGAATGGAGGGTTGGGCCGGTGAGGTGGGGTAGACCATCTGCCGGGGTCCCTGCTATACCTCTCTCGGTAAGCTCGCTCCGGGTGGGGTCCCTTCGCTCCGTTGCTCGTCGCGGTCGCGGGTGCAGATATATGGGGCCTTCGGGCTTAAAGTGGGGGGACAGAATACCTTACTACGCCGGCCAACAAACAAGTCACTTCCTTCCCTCCCACTACCTTATTATCTCCATTCTTGCAATTCGTATTCCTGGCAGTCTTGATGCTGTTGCTTTGCGAGATATCTGTAGAACACTTGATTCAAAAATCCAGAGAGAGTACGTGTTGTGAGGCAGATCATATGGACGCTCTGAGTCCTGACAGCCCGGGAAGAGCTTGAAGTGCATCGACCATGGTTGTAAGTCGGTTCAGCATGTTACAATGTTGGCAGCGGCCAGAGATTCGAAATGTTTGCCGGCGAGTGTAGTGAGGGTGGGAGCGGTCATTCAGTGTTGCCTTCGAAGTTTCGCGGAGGTAGGGCTGGCTTTAACAGTAGGTGCTGATGGTAAGGCTAGCTTTCAGCAAGACTGGATGTATTCGAAGATTGGCTGAGCAAAGTATGAGAAAGAGCTATAATTTAAGTGCGTCCCATCGTTCTACCCATCTGCTGGTGTTGAAATTGTGAACCTCGCTGCTTTCATGAAACGCCAAAGTAAGAAAGAATACATCAGAAAAGAACAGAAGCTACGGAGGCGTACTTGCCCTTTAAACCACAATCGTACCTTCCGTATTCTATCTGCTCCCTTCCACCTAACCAAATGCCTCCCTTCTCTAAAGTTCAATGAGCATCCGGCCCTCCCTCCTCTCTTCCCTCTCACCACTAAGGTAGACGACTCGGCGGGCTTGGTGCCCAGCTTCAGCAAGCCGCCTTCAAAATTTTCGCTTTCCACATGAGATAATAGCCGACGGCCTCGAGCAAACACTGTCTACTTCCACCGCTATCCAACATTATCCATCCTTCTGCACAAACCACCTCCAAACCACTCATAAGCAGACAACGTCCTTGCCTTGAGAGCTCGCAAGTATGCTTGTAACTAATATATTCGCCTTCCCAGATATTTTACTGACTATGTTCATGCAGCCGGAACGTCAAGATGGCTGACTTTAGCCAAGAGGAACTGAAACTCTTCGCCACAGAGGTGAATGGCGAGGTCTCAGATCGCCCCATGTGTGGTATCATCGACGTCAAAATCCGAGGCTTCTACCAAACGATCGACAACGGACACTGGAATACGGCTGCAGAGTATTTGAGAGAAGACGCCAAGCTCGTGGCGGATCTAGCTATGCCAGGTTCTATCCACGAAAATACGAACTCGGTCGTCGATTACTACAGAGCTCGCTACTACAGACTGAAACGCACTGTGATCAAGCTCTTGGTTATCGACAGAGGCAGGGCTACCTGCTCTCTGGAGTCCTTCTGGCTGGTAGATAAACATCGCTGTGATGTACCAGCCATGAAGGCAACGACCCTCATGCGGCAACGTGAAGTCTGTGTCATTGACTTGGACGAGAATCACCTTATCAAACGAATCGAGTATCGAGACACAAGCGAACGTATCAGCGTCACAAAGGGCAGTCGCAAGAAAATGAATCACGCTGTAGCGGAATCTGAGAAGGATGTCGTGGTCATGATGGAGCATTTCGGATATTAATTCTGGGGGACATTTCGTGGTTGAGGGAGAGGGAGTCGTGCTTCTTAGTCCGCGCAATACCTTTGGGGGGAGGAGATAGACACATTCGATCGTCGGAAAAGTACGGCAAAATTTCTCAAGCAAGGTCCCATCACAGGCGTGACTTTGTGACTTGCTCGCGTCATTACGACAAGAATATGCACATGCGATTTCTGCAGCACCCTTTCTGACTATGATCTATCTGCACCGGTCAGAATGACTGCACAGTGGCAAACACTTCTATATCATTGGCGATTTGGGATCCTAGTGTCTCGAGAAGTGAGAATTGGAATCATGTTCCATTCATGTAAAAGCGCAAAGAAGCAATCGCATTCATGTCCTCCTCGTTCCCCACTCACCCTTTTCTCAGTTCACCGAGACCTCCAATCTGTCATCTCAACGTATCAACCATAATATCAGCCGCCAGGATCGAGATACTGCCTTCGGTTCTGGAATTGACATTGCCTTTCGAGACATCATCATTAGTCGACGACAAGCTCGGCGTTTTCTTGTTCCATCATAAAATAGTCGAAGTTGGTGCTGACATACTCCACACGGGGTCCGCCATACATGTCTTGATACTCCATTTTTCGGGTCTGCTTTGCGTTGTCGATGTCCAAGATGATGACCTTCTGATTGATGGTGACAAAAGACTTGCAAAAACCTCCGTCCTCTACAGGGACTACATGGCAGATGACGCGGCCGCGACAGGCGAGAATGAATTGCCGAAAAAGAAAAGTATTCTTTACGATTTCCCGAAGTCCCCAGTCAGCGAGTGAAACCTGCCATTTAATACCGGAAGGGAAGCAATTCAGGGACGCCTGCCCGACATGCTCACATCGCGACTTCTTCAACGACCTTTTCCGGCTGCAAGCCTGAAATGGTCGCTCTTCCTTCTCCGGTTCACTGACAACCAGAAAGAGTCCCCACAGACCTAGCGAGGTACGCCAGGAAGTCCCTCTTGAATTTCTGCCGTGTTCATCTCCTCGCCCAAAACGATTCAACGTCTAGCGACAAGTTCGCCCGCCACATTTGCTCATCATCCTCCAACCCTGCAAAATCTCGTGTTTTGCAATCTCTACTAAAATTGAGGAAAAAGGATCCCATCGGACTTGTAAGCTGAATGACAAAGAGCCCCCCCGGTTATTCCTGCATTGCTAACCATTGGTTCAGGTCTCCGCCTTCAACGATTCCTCCGTGATGGATCCCGTCCAGAACGTCCTCCGATTCTGGTCCTTGTGCAATGCCGAAAACGAACAATGGTTCCTACAGATGCTGACCACCCAATTCGAGCCCCTCATCGACAACATCAATTCCGGAAGACTCCATGGCAGCTGGGAATGGCTCACCGACAACGCAACGCTGACTACAAGCATCGGTCTTCCACGGTACACTGGGACAACCTTCGAAGGTATAGAGGCAATCAACGATCATCTCGCTAGCCAATACAATTCCGAACCCCGCATGGAGTTTGTTCCACTCCTCATAACCTATGGCCAAGGCCACATTGCGTGTCATGCGTGGTATAGGCCAAGCGATGAGGAAGTCCTCTCCAACCATCCCGGCCACAACCTGCTCGTCACAGCGGACCTCAACGATCACAAGAGACTAGTGAGAATGGAATTCAGAGAGTACACAATTTGGGGACAGGAGACCTATCCTGAAAGGGTCGACAATTGCCGGGCTTGTAGGGAGATAGCTTCCGAGAAGAGGAGTATACTGATGGAAGAGGACACAGATGAGAGCTCAGGAGATGAAATAGAACTGGGGTTCTGGTCAGACCCTTTTTGGACAGGAAACCATAACCACTGAAATTATTGGGAAGATTGATATTGCTACCGAGAGCCTGGGTTTGTTATGAGATACTAGGGATGAGGCTCGGGGGGGACTTGCTTGACTTTTCGGTAGCATTCAAAATACGAGTTTGATCAGCTTCATGATTTTCCTGTGTTTTTGTATGGTCTTGATTACCCGCTGGTAGTATTTTATCTGCAAAGCCGATGCGATGCGTGTGTTGCGCCATGTTCACAAGCATGTTCACAGTCTGATCAACCAGAAAAGTCCACAGAATACTTCACTCATGTGGGGCCAGGCGAAGATGGTAGGTATGAATCATCAGTCATTCTTTGAGGATGGCTACTCGGTGCTGATAGAAGCTGTGTAGGTTAAATTGTACCGTGAAACAAACGAAATACCAAGTCTGGAACTCTTGCCTTTCTGCCTGAACGTCCCTTCTCCATAAGAATCCGAGTCTCAAGGGACAGTCCCGATTTCCGTGCCAAAGATTTACCATCCCAAGACCCCAAGGAACCACTTGAGGCGATCACAAGACCAGGAGCACCAGCTATCCTCCAACGAGTACCAAGTCAGTGTGACATCGACAGGGTATCTCTCGGGCTTGTAGAGCTTGAAGTTGCGCTCATCAAGAGCGGTGTGGCCGAGTTGAGCTGCTGGAATACCTCTCTGGCGGGCCATCTCGAACGCCATTGTCTCCCAGGCCCGATGGATGAGCAAGACTTGGTTGTCCTCACAGGCGCCGAACCAAGAAGCTCCAACTACATCAGCCAGGAAGTTGGGGTTGCTCTCGGTCTGTAGGTTGGAGTTGGAGGTCTGGTGAGGCATTGGAGGGCAACTGTGGAGGCCATGCATCTCGCAAACCATGTCACCGAGAAGCCAGAACTGGTCGCGTGGGAGGAACATGCTGGCACTCAGGGAGTGGACAGGAATGTTGCCGGTATTTCCGTAGTAGAATTCGCCGGCATTGTCGAGATAGTCAAAGTAGGAGCTGTGCTCAGGTCCACGGAAGTGGTTGAGGTTGCCAATCTCGATAGGGGTATCCATGTTACACTGGTCGTAGCTGGCAGCAAGTCGAGTAGTGAAGGCGTCGGCAACCGTGTTTGGCTCGCACTGCTGAGGATCAGCTTCAAGGGAAATACCGGGAGGCATGTCACCCTCAGTTCCTTGTCCGCTGGCATTGCAGCCTTCATCTTCCAAGGCAAGATCGAGCCTCTCCATATCGTCAGTCCCACCCACGTAGTACTCTGATGAACGAGTAGGCTTGTTGGCTTTTGTACTGTTTCCTAGGATCCAGGTGATGTCGGCCGTGGGTCGGACCATGTCGGGATGCGTATCCATAAAGGACTTTGTGCTCTTCCAGAGGAGCTTGGAGTCAGCGGCGCCCTCGAAGGATACTTCATTGACTCCATAGGCAATTCCACGGTCTCGCATGAGACGGAAGACATCGACTGTGATGTCACAGAGGAACTTGGTCTAGTACAGGAGCTTCGTCAGCCAAGAAAATGCAAAGCAGGGATGGGAAGAAAGAACGATGTCAACTTACGCCAGGCTCGACCATCCAGAACCACTCGTAGGCCTGGAGACGCTTCTCTCTGGCAAAGAGTCCAGCAGACCAACGACGCTTGTGATAGACCGTTCTGATGAGGGCTTTGTCGGCATTCACTCCCTAAGTGCGCACCAGACCAGCCTCGAAGCGACCGGGATCGACAGAGTTCGGGATTGTCCAGTGTTGCTGGGGGATCAGGTTGTAGGTGACAGTGGAGGCAGTGGCGTTGGAGGTAGCGTCTTTGAACTCTTCACTAAGCTCCTCGTGGCTGAAGAATACCCAGTCGTAGTGGTACTTGTGGTTGAATCGCTGCTCGAGCTGTGCGACAGAGGCTACCATCTGTTCTCTTTGCTGTTCCGAGACCAGCGAGACAAAGGCTGCTCGTGGCGAAGCATCGCGAATGTGGACAGGGCCACACAAAGCGAGGGGAACCTGGATGAGAGCAATTGTAATCCAGAAGACTAGTGAAGCACAGAATCGAAGGGACAGCTGGCTATGAGCTGCCATCTTGGCCAATTGCTCAAGGTGTAGGACCAGTGGGAAAGAGTAGCCTGCAGGGGGGAATAAGTGAAGGTGAACGAGAAGGAATCAATTTCACGCCAGTGACGGCGTGGAAAAGGAAGTTTATGGACGGCGTTCGCTCAGGATGGATTTGTTTGGATGAGGTTTGTTGTGGGGAGAAGGTTGGTGGAAGGGAAAGTTGGGATCGTGGTGTTGACATAAGGAGAAGTCAAGTGGGCAGCCAAAGAAGAGGCAGTGAGGCACACAACTTCACTAGCGCCTCGCTTAGAATTCTCTCCGTCTGGAAGAAAGGAAGGAGCGCATGCTGATGCCTCTTCAACACGTGATTTGGTGACCTGGAGACCTCACCGAGAGGGATACGCCTCAGGCGCCTAGGACACCTCCGTGAGGCCATATCCGGAGGATAAACTCCGGAGGCACGTGATACCACTTGACTGGCCTAGGGATCTTCATACAAGGAGTCCTGATTGTCAATTCTCAAATCTGTGACAGTGAGATTATATTGACGAAGCCCATCCCTTGCTGTCCACGTGACAACCAGGAAACTGCTGAGCTCTTCCTTCTCACGGGAGAGATTTTCACAACTCTGACCACCATTGAAACTAGATTTAACTCAAATATTCGAGAGAATTGTTTCGAGAGTCAACATCATGACCGAAAGCAATTGACAGCGTGGACCTGAATGAGTAGAGACAAGAGACCTTGTAACTTAAAGCGTCCTTTGCATGACCGCTTTGACTACCGCAGGGAAATAGAGCAATGGGCAAAGAGAAATAATGACATAGGCCTGTGAATGCAACGTTCACTCATGTGGCTCAGTTGGAGTCTCAAAGATCCAAGACCTATTGATAACAATCACTCGTATGAGTACATCTTTGCAAGGTACTCAGGAAGATTTGTAAAGAATGTGTTAGGACGTCAAGTTCAGTGAAGCTACCTTTGCTAAGTACATGTAGCGGGTAGGCTAAGCCTCATCACTGGCTTCCCATTCCTTCTCCTGTCGTTGTAGAAACCATAGACTCCGACCCTAATTCTATTGCTCTTTCCACAACATCTTTGAAATCTGACAGCTCATCACCACAAACCCCCCTGTCTAGGAGGAGCTCGAGTATTGCTGTGTGCTCGAGGCTTACGGCATACTGAAGTAGTGTGATTCCGGGCCCATCGTGTAGACTCGCGCCGTGATCGACGAGCTTTCGTACCATGGAAATACTTCCAGCACGTGTTACCACAGCCAGAGGAGATAATATGTCGCCCATGATCCTTTCGGGATTCATGCCAGACTCGAGCAAAAGCTCAAGTACGTTCTCCCGCTACCCTCCACTGATCGAGTTTCATAGCGTTCGTAGCCCTGATCATCCATCGGGCCAACGATGACGTGTCCGTACGGGAGCCCGGCGAAATCTGTGCTGTCCGAGTCGGGCTGCGAGGGAGGGTAGATAGCTAGAAGGAGCATTTACACGTCCCCCGACATCGCAGCTCCCGTAATCGAGGTTTTTCCGGTTCGTTCCTAGAATGTCTGCAAAATTTCGGCATTGCGCGACCATGCAGCGATCCATCATTCTGGCGCCGGCAAAAGTCTATCTTGTCTCACTGTAGATGTATGGGCGAGGGGACTTTCACCTTGTTATTCTCGAGGGATTTGGTTTGGCGATTACCGCAAGTACGATTTCTTACTCTCCAATGATCATTTGAATGCCACCTTCATGGAGAGTTCAGCGAGACCCAGGCAGCAATAAGAAAATAGAGTTATCTCCAGTATGGTTTTTTGATTGAGTTTGAGGGGCTTGATGGCCCCTGTAGGGCAATATAAAGCGGACAGAAAATACGGAACGAACCCTGGCTTGCATCTTCTCACCACCAACAAAAAAAGCTTAGATCGAATCCTTCGCCACTCGTCTCCTGACATATTCTTCCAACACATTCTCTTGCCATCATGATGCATCTCCCATCTCACAGAGCCTTGCAGCAAATAGTCATCCAAGCAGAAGGCAGAAGAAACACTCGCTGGACAGCACTTCCACAAGACCTTCGGCGCAGTATTCTGCAGTCTTTAGCCACCGTCTTGACCTCTGAAGAAATCCCTATCGCCATCTACGCTACTGTTTCTAAGGAATGGCAGAGCAATTGCGAACCGTTGCTTTGGCAAAAGTTGACTTTCCGGCCCTGGACTTCGGAGTCGAACTTTCAAGGCTTTCGCGAGGCTATTCAAAGTCATCAAAGATCTCTCATCAAGACCATCTGCCTTTGTCTGAGAATGGAAGAATACCGTTGTCGTCGATGCCTCCGGGAGGTCGGAGGCCAACATACAATTATCGAGAGAGAGAGAGGGTGCTTTTTAAGAATTTGGAAGAGCTTTTTTTTATCCTTGCTCTTTGGACCGAAGACATACCCAAATACGGCATTTCTGTCAAGTTGGGGTTGTTGACGCAGGGTGGAAGCTCTCAGAGGCCAACTGCAGTTAGGGGTAGAATGATGAATTACTGAAATCTGCTCCTCCCTCGACGTGTACTCCCTGCGCTGTATATATATATCTGAGCTACTCCTTTGTTGCTTGGACTCCTTACTACCTCTAACTAGCCCCTGTCCGGGAGGGCTCTGACAATTTCGCTTGAACTGAGCGGTATCTCGGTTCCGAACGCAGGCGATTTAGTACCTAGGCGTGGTCGCCGTCATTGTGTCCACCGTCGATCGCCCGCCGTTCCAGATCTTTTCGTGGAAATCCTTAGTATCGACATTGTAATAAGTAAGCAAGGGCCCGTTAAGATGGTTCCTTGTATCACCGCAATTTCCATCAGCACAATAATCTCTTGGAGCTGTTCGTCTCTCTTACTTTTTCGTCTCGCCAACAGCTTGCCGTGTCTTCAACGACTCGGTTTTGAACAACAGCTGGGAACGACGCAAACCATCCAACAAGCAATCGGAAACCGATTCGCCTTCTCGATTGCGGATCGAATCCCTTCTCTGCAGAGACTATCCATATGGGAGTCTCGGTCCACATTGATATCTCAAGCTCAAAGTCAAAGTGACTCGAAGGAAGCAAGCGAGCTGGTAGAGGTGCTTCAGACAGCGGTTCCCACCAGCTTTCATTTGAGGGAACTGGCAATTACACATATCATTGACGCGAGAGATTTCTTCTCCCACTTCAATTTTTTGATCACGTCGGGCGTAGAATCACCTCCTTGCATGCTTGAGCGTCTGGTTTTGAGCTGCCAACTTGAGCGACTGTGTCACGAGTTATGGCACGCAGCAATGGGCATGTGAAGTGTGGTAAAAGTGGCTTATATTAACCCAAATAGAATCGAGCAAGGAAAGGTGCTAACCCATCGGGTGCTGCTTGACCCCATTTTCGCCAAGGGCGGGGTAGAGCCAATAAGGGGTTGTGAATCTATTGAGTTAACCAATAGGGTGTTACGAGCTGGACAAGGCAACCAACTGTGGCACAAAGCAAAAGCTTCGATAATGATGACTCCGGTCATCATTGTCCCTTGTTCTACATATATAGCTACGCGCCCACAGTGACAAGTTGCGGCGGGCGTAACATAGGGGTACAATACTTCTATCGCCTATAAATTCTACATATACCAGAGGTACCAGTAATTTCTATTCATACATAACGGTACATTATAATCCAAGCAGCCCTTCCGTATTTTTTTTCGAGCGAGGTTATTCCCAGATATCTTATCTAGGGTCTAGCGGGCTCTTATTACCCGAAGATTACTATAATAAGAGCAAGGCGAATTAACCTTCCTTAACCCCTTTCTATATTATTCCTATAAAACAGAGGTATTCCTCTTATCTATAGCCCGTTTAGGCCGTGACCTCTGCCGCCCTTATACTAATGGTCCGAACTGCTAAATAAGCTGGGCTACAAGCAGCTACCGCTATTAGTGGTATAATTTCACCTTCTGCCATCTAGGGCTGCTCTAAAGCTACAGTAGGAAGCTATTCATAATTACAACTTCTAGCAGGAAATTCCACGCAATTAACTACCAGCCCCCTCGACGAATAGGGTAGCTATATTAATAATAGGACCTCATCTAGTAACTTATATCAACCCCATTCATCTTATAATTATACTCATCGATTACCCTAGGCACTAGAAGGTTCTTGCGGACGTCTAAGCCAAACACTTGTGTTACGGCCAGCTAGTCGTAGGGGTAGTTTGCAGAAGTTGAGGCTGCGGAACTGGTAACAGTAATCGTAGTCGTGGAATAGTTTCAAGGAAACTATGTCTGTCAATCGTAAGGGTAGGTAAGGCTTCGGTGATCAATCGTAGTCTTGTCAAGGTAGTAGCTGAAAGCGGATGTTAATCCTGATACGAAGTTAATTGCTGAAGAGCTATGGAAAGTCTGTCCTAGAGTCCAGCTCAAGTCCATCCTTATATACAAGTCCTGATCCTGAACATGTCCCTTGTCCCTTGGGTCGTCTTGGGTCATTCTGATCCAGAATGATCGTTTAGCCCCCATGATGATGATGATGATGATGATGATGTATTTAACGTCTGGTAACAAAAGGACGTGCCGGGCGCAATGCCGACATGGTCTATACTAATCTAAACTATATTACAGGCTACCGTCTTCACCTAACGTTCCTGTTCAATGACTCGGGCAAATTTCGGAAAAGAAATTGGTCTCCTCTATCCATTCGCATAGAAGAGAGGCTCCCTTAGCAGAACCTAACAAGAAATCAATACTTGCTTTAGCCATACGTTGGCGGAGGTAGCGCGGTGTAGCCTTGCGTCCACGCTTGCAGAAGTAGAAATGGACTGGTGTCTTGGGTTTCCCACAGCTGCAGTTGAGCAACGCATCTTGATGAGCGAATCTCTCGTGGTATGCTGCAAAGTCTCCATGATGGGATCTTGCTGCGTATAGCCTTCCTAGTAAGTGCCGAGGGAGGCGGAGTTCGGGCGGCTTGGGGTGAAGAATTATCTCGAGGTCGGCATATTGCCGAGGGCATTGGGACAGCCATTTTCTGGCAAAGGC